TAATTGTTGAACCATGCAATATATTGCAGTGTAACCTGACAAATTGTATATATTGCACGGGACAGAAGAAGTTTTTCTAACAGTGAGGACTCTATGCAAGGACCCAATCTTGCTTGTAATCCGGAGCAGCTAGAATATCCCGGCAGAACTGTGACTCCTGAAGCAGAAGCTGAACCTGATATTGAGACGCTGCTTTTTACAGAAAGTTCTTCACATATTTGTTTTAGAAAAATCTGCAGAACCGAGATGTATCAGATGAAGCTCTATATTCTCCAGCAGGTTCTATGAACAGATTTAGAGCAGCCAGGGTATCCAGGGCATAAATGAGAACATGAATATCCAGGGCATACAAGTTCAACTACAGACCAGCCAGACCAACTACAGATAAATTGAGGAATAAGCAAATCTTGAGACAGGAGGCGCTGCTCTTTACAGACAGCTCGATCTATAGTAGAAAGAGTTAAGGAACAATAGATCTTGATGCAGGGGACGCTGTTCTTTGCAGACAGCTCTTCACAGACCGGTTGCAAGTACAACAAAGGAGCAGCCATAGTAGCAGAGACACCGGGAGCAGCTCAAGTAGTAAAAGAAACAGCTGGAAATGTATGTAGAACCATCTCAAGAGTACGGGGATTTAAAGTGAAATATTTGTGCACGCCCTAACCATGGGAGCAAATGATATTTGATCTCAAATCCCGAGGATTTACATCTGGATTGTAATCGATTTAATCTATTAATCATTACATTCGGTACCTTCGCACGTTTGATGTTTCATTGTAAGCATTCATTTTTTTATAAAGAAAAGCATGTTTAAGGCATATTGATCATATAGTCCTATTTTTTAGTGTTTTATTATTCACCCACAATCCATATTTTTACATGTAACATTTTAAAGTTATTTTAATGATTGCTTGCTTAATTTTAGATGTTATCAACCGTCGATACGATCTTGAGAGAGATGAAGTCCAGAATATTAAGATCAACGCAACACGATCAGCAGATCAAGTCAAGGTAAGTTATTAACCGTCGATATGGTCTTGAGAGATGAAGTTCAGAATAATAAGATTAATGCAACACGATCAGCTGATCAAGTAAAGGTACGTGATCAATCTCTAAGCGATCTTGAGAGAGATGAAGTCCAGAATATTAAGATTAATGCAACACGATCATCTGATCAAGTCAATGTAGGTGATCAATCAATAAACAATCTTGAGAGAGATGAAGTCCAGAATATGAAGATCAATGCAGCACGATCAGCTGATCAAGTCAATGCAGGTGATCAATCTCTAATCGATCTTGAGAGAGATGAATTCCAGAATATTAAGATTAATGCAACACGATCAGCTGATCAAGTCAATGTAGGTGATCAATCTATAAACGATCTTGAGAGATATGAAGTCCAGAATATTAAGATCAATGCAACATGATCAGCTGATCAAGTAAAGGTACTTGATCAATCTATAAGCGATCTTGAGAGAGATGAAGTCCAAAATATTAGGATCAATGCAACACGATCAGCTGATCAAGTTAATGTAAGTGATCAATCGTCGGTACAACATTGAGAATGGTATGATGATATTAAAATAAATTCAACTTGATCAGTTGATCAAGTCATGTTAGGTGATCAATAGGATCAATCGTTAATACGATATTGAGAGAGATGAAGAAAAAATATTAAGAGCAATGCAACTGGATCAGCTGTTGGTCAGTATGATCTAAGAGAGATACAATTCAGAATCAATCTCAAACAGACAGATGATCAAGACAAGATAAAAATTAATAACTTCTGTTTGTTAACGGAACTTTTAATTGATTTTTATGCATTTGCTTTAGAATATTTCTTGTTCTAGTTTAGGGAGGGTTATATCAACGAAATTGTCCATTTTATAAAAAGTTTCCGATCGATCTTTTTAAACGAAATGCAATTTTGATGATTAAAGTTTTAATTGTTGATCAACAGTATTTTCAATTAAATTTAAAACACTAATGTTCGAAATTCTGCTCAGTCCCGCAAGTTTAACAATTTAAAAAGTGTCTCCTTTCTAATTTAAATTGAATTTTCTTGATTAAGTTGTTTTCAGATTGAAGGCATGAAACCAGTTTCTCCATGTGATGATACAAAATTTGATATCAAGCTTAAAGGTAACAAATAGATATAAATACATTATATGCAACCCTTATACAATACTAGTTCATGTGCCCGGCGTTGCCCGTAAAATTAAAAAAATCTTATTTTAAAAATAAATTACGATTTGTGAAAAAAAAAGTCTATGTTACCCGTGGGGCACTTAAAATTTCAGCCCATTCGGTCCAGCCGTTTGGCCAGCTATAGCGACATAAAAAAATATATATGTACACACATACAAATATATATATATCTTCTTAAAATAAGTTCCGAACATTTTCTATTGTTTATTTAATATAGTTTCTTAATATGTATAAATAAATATATATGAGCGAAGAGCTTTTATATATAGATTATCTATCTTATAGAATATTTGTAGCTTATACAAAATTATCCACAATATTATCTTAAACAGTAATATCTTATACCATAACAGCTTATAAAATATTATCTGATACAATGATATCTTAAACAATAATATATTATACAATAATATCTTATTCAATATTATCTTATAGAATATAATCTTATAGAATGATATGTCAAACATACTATCTTATACAATAATATCTTATTCAATATTATCTTATAGAATATAATCATATAGAATGATATGTCAAACAATACTATCTTATACAATAATATCTTATTCAATATTATCTTATAGAATATAATCATATAGAATGATATGTCAAACAATACTATCTTATACAATAATATCTTATTCAATATTATCTTATAGAATATAATCATATAGAATGATATGTCAAACAATACTATCTCATTCAATAATATCTTATTCAATAATATCTTATACAATAATATCTTATTCAATAATATCTTATTCAATATAACCGTATAGAATATAATATAGAATATATAACCCTAGGGGATCTGGTGAAGGTGTTCTCTATACTGGGAGATGTAAGAAGAGGGAACCTGGTCAGACTAGAACCTAAACAACAAAACCAGTTTGCAGAACAGTAAGTTGACAACTGAATACTCGCCACAAGTTCTAGATTCATAATCCCATATCTGTGCAACCTGAACCTTTGATATTTCAATCCATCAGATCTTTAGCAAAACTTTTATAGAGAAACCAACTACATATTGAAAACGATCTATCGTTAAAGGTTCCTTTGACCCTAAACAGGCTGGAGGGGGGCGTTTGGCGCCCCCCTGTAGTTTTTTGTCCTAGCACTCTCATTTTTGACACTATCACTGTGAAATTTTGTGACATTTAATGATTAGTAATTTAAAGGATTTTTTTGTTAAAAAATATTTTTTTCATTTTTTTTACATTTTCTTAGGCATTTTTTTCCACCCTACCTAGCACCCAAACTATTAAAGTTATCGGTATAATGTTTTTCTTCTTTGAAAAATTTGGCTATGAACATGCATTTCAACCCTATACCTATTATCTTAAGGCCTTTTTCTAGGGGAGGGGGGCGCCGAACGCCCCCCAGGCTTTACATAGATTCAGACCCCCCAGCCTTTATAGGGTTCAAGAAAATGAAAATAGAAGAGGAAAATGCAATCTTTAATATAAAAAAATGCTAATTCAAAATGTTTGTGCAAAAAAGAAAAATTGCAAGATATTTTATGCAGAAACAAATTGAAGCAGGACACTTGAAATATGCATGTAAATTTAGAGAACATTTTGACAAATACATAAAAGATTTAAGTGAAAACTTGAAAATGTTATATTTTACTAGATTGGGAACTATATAGTTAACCCACTCAGCTTAAAATATTTTAAAACTTTTTATCTAAGAATATTCCCGTGGCTCTACAGTCTTCCGAGTTGACCATTAAAAATGACAGGCAAATCGTTCACTGGGTTCCTGAGTTATGATCGGAGATACTTTATAAATAAAAATTTATAAATTGTGGAGTCGTATACTTTTACATTGTTTTTAAACATTTTATATATATATATATATTTCGTTTCTTGAAATATGTTTTGTTACTTTTATTAATTCTTTTAAGTTATAAAGTTTTTTATATTTAAACATTATGATAATAAACATTTAAATATATAATATATTTAAACATTAGTTTATATTTAATGATACATCTGTATACGTTTTTGTATACATGTGTGTTTATATTTTGTTTAATATACTAGACTGAATTTCAGATTAAGGAAAATAATTCACAAGATGTGTGTAAATAAAAAAACATAAAATTGTGGAAATAAATGGAGTCAAGACACTTGTAATAACTTCAGGAAATTAAAGAAACGCATTCCGAAAAACATAAAGGAAGCGAAACTAAAATTTTGCAAGTTGTAATCTCTGTTTGTTTGTTTGTCCGATCATAACTCAGGAACCCGATTGACCGATTTGCCTAATATTTTAATGGGAAACTCGGGAGACCTCGGGAATGTTCTTAGCTTTGAGATGCTCAGTTAAGTGGGTCTACTTTTATAGGAAAAAAATAGCTAAAATCGTAATTTACGACCAAGCGCGGGTAAAGGGGGCGGGAGTAACTATAAATACCCTTGGGCAACTCTGGGTTTTGAAGCTTTACTATATACTCTTGTATATCTTTATATATTTTGTTTAAGATTTATCGGGTTGAAGACTAAATTGGATACTGTTCTAAAGAGAATAAATGACGAAAATCCAGAATCCATAAAAATTGATCTCATCAGGTTTTTTTATTATAATACAAATAATAATGATTATATTAATTATTATAAGAAAGATGAAACATTGACTAGTAATACTACAGTTTACTATTGTATTATTTATCCTTAGAATAATTAGAATCAATGTGGAACCAAGGGTTTACATTACATTCCTCTGGGGTTTTAATTTCCATTGGTTCTTATTTTTCCGAGAGTAAATGATAAATTCCTATGTAAAAAGCTGGTTTTAACATGGACCTGCGTAAATAAGTTTTAAGAGAATCAATGAAAATTGTTGCATGCATACAAAAATCAGTTTTTTACAAAGGAATGTTTATTTTAAAATAAACAAATAAAATATAATAAAGGTAAAAAATACTGATAAATACATTTTTTAAAAATTAATGATAATAATAAAAAAGTAATTGTTTTAAAAAAATTATTTAAATTTAAAATTTCTTATTGATATTTTCTATTTCCTTAGGCCAAACACTGAGGCTGATGTTTTCTGCAAGGAACATTGAAGATGGAAAAACTTGAATTTAAAAATTACGTCATAATTTAAAATTTGGACTCATATTGATGTTTAATCATAGGTTTACACCTTTAAGCTGCAACGATATATGAATTAGAATATTGTGACAAAAACTCAATTCCTTTAGTTTACTGTTGAGAAGAATCTATTATAAATCAGAACTAAATTAAACAAAAGACAGTTTTTCATTTTGATAAAGTATTGAATCTTTAATCTTGCTTTATGAAGGTTGCTGATTTTACTCTAAAAGGTTTCTATATAGGTTACAAACCTATACTAGCAGGTTAGGGTTTTAAAATATACCATTTATTTTCCGGTTTGTTAAAATTATTTTTATAATTTACATTTTTAATTTCCCGGCCGAAAAAAGTAGTTTTACACAATTTTATCATCTTTTGAGATGAAAATGCGCAAATTTTTTTTAAAACTTTGCAGAGCGGTTCATTATTTAAATAATTTAGTTTTCCCAAGGGACGTAAAGTAACTTAAAGCTAGGGGAATCACGGGTTGGTAATATTGGTCAAAAGGTGGTAAAAACAATAATTGGTTCCCTTATAAACATATCGAACTTTGAGTTAATTATCCAAATTGCATTTAAGTTTTGTTTAACTTGATGAAACATTTAAAAAGTTTCATCCATTAGAGGGGTGTGTCAGTAAACTTTTGACTGTTCTAACCTAATTTTTAAACTTTTGATTTGATTTTTTGATTTAAACTTTTTTGAAACCAATGTATGCATAAAAATGCATTAATAACAGACAATAATAAAAAAGTATAATTTATAACAGCGCTCGGCCCAGAAAGTGTCTTAACCTAACCTAACCCTAAATAATAAAAAATAAATAATAATAAATTTGCTGGTTATTCTGATCATTGTAATGCTTTCATGCTTGAAGCATATGGGTATCAATGGTTACAACTGGTTTTCACCACTACATGTGTTAAAGATTGATTTTAAGATATTATTTGACATGAACTAACAATTTAATGCTTCATAACAGGGAAGCAATAGCTGGATGCAAGGTGGAGGGAAGCCAAGACAATGTTATATTCTCATCTTATATTTATTGCATCCTTGTTGACTCGCGTGAATGAAGAGATACATAATTTTTTTAAACCTTTAAACAAATTTATGAAGATTTTTACACTTCTAAACGAAATTAAACATTTTAATTTACATAAAAATCAACCTTCCTTAGGTTTTACAAACTGTACATTCTATAGTTTAGTATTTCATGTTTTCTGAGTTTTAAATGAGCAACTGCTTTGCAGTAAAATTTGCGATCAATTCTATTCCAAATCTAACAAACCGGTTTCCGTGATTGAAATATCAGTGATACAAGAGTTTGTCATAATTTTGTTCAAAAGTTGTGAAAAAAATATATTTTGATATTCTTAATTTTTTTTAAACCGGCTCTTTTGGATATGAAAACCACTTTTATTCACTACTAACAGAATAATTATAAACTTCTTATTTAAAGGGTCTCTGGATAGTATAGATGTTTACCAATGCAACCCAGAGCAACTAAAAACTGTTCAGGTTAATTTATTTTTCATTGTATTTTAATGTTTTTTTTAGATTAAAAATTCTAGAAAGTACAAGAGTATTTTTTCATCTACCCTTTACATCTTAACTTATACATACTGGAGGTACACACGAATGTAATGTACCAGTGCATAGTGCAAGAGTATAGATATGTACTCTATATTAAAAACTATGTTGGAAGTACACACACAATAATGTAATGCACCAGTACAAGAGTGTATACATGTACTCTATATTTAGAACTATACTGGGAGTACACAAGAATGTAATGTACCAGTACAAGAATATCCTCCATTCTCTGTTTGCACGGATCTTGTGTTCACATGGACTCCAGGTAAAGTATATTATCTGTCTGTTTCGGCATTTGTATCTTTTTTATTTGACTGTTTACAGATTTGCCTATATATATCTGTTTATTTATTGGTATTCTTTTACTTCATTAAGAAATTTAACACTTACTTATTATGTTGTGGTATTCTATAAGTTAATATTTGGTGAAAATTCAAGAGATAGAAAATTTTTTGAAGGTTAATAAAAAACTGCCTGAAAAAAAGTATTTTCGATTTTAAATAGCAGATATTTTATGTTAAATATATTTTGAATTTAATATTTTAGGTTCTACCGGTGAAAGTTTAGAGGAAGGAACTGGAATTAAAATGCTCAATAAATTTTACTACGGGTAGATATTTAATATTTTTACAAAAACAAACATTTAAGAAAAACCCGTTAATCCATTTCAAATTAATATTAGGCAATTAACTTTAAGTCGGAAGCTTTATCAAGGGAGGTTTAAACAAATGTACCTTAACACAAATGATATGTTGAACTTTTCTATAAATGCAAGCAATATATTTCTTCATCATATCAACAAAACAAAAAAAAACAATTTCAATAAAATTTTAATAAATATTTGTTTTAGTCATAGATTAATAACAATACAGATAGAACACTAAATGTCGACTCTTACAGATTTATGGGTTTTTCATTCACAATAACCATGAGGCAGAAGTCCAAAGGAGTTACGCGCATGCTCTCTGTCTGTCTTGTAATTCAACGAGGCATGCGCGTAACTCCATTGGGCTTCTGCCTCAGAGTTATTGTGGACGAAATACCCCAAAATCTTGAAAAGACGACATCTGGTGTTCTATCTGTATTGGTATTATTCTATGGTTCAGTGGACTAAGCACGCTTTTGTTGAAAATACATTACTCCAACGTGGATGTAAATTTGGAGGTTAGTAAATATCACGATTTTGTTTTTAACTTTGAAAATAGGCTTTAACGTAAATAAGAAAATACTTTTCACCAAGGAGAATTGAATAGAAGGAGGAGGCGATTGGGTTTTTGGACTGCTGAAGAACTAGTTTTTGCGTAACAACAAAAACAAAGGCAGCCAATCTAATGTAAACAAACATGAGTTAGTATACAGTGAATCTTCATCTAATGCCAGAGATGCACCAGATGTTTGTTTATCATTTGTGTTATTGTTTACAATCTTTATTATTGTTGTTACGCAAAAACTAGTTCTTCAGCAGTCCAAAAACGTAACAGCAAAGTGTACGGAAACCCAATCGCCCCCTCCTTCTATTCAATTCTCCTTGCTTTTCACCAAATCTTTGCTTGCATGCATAAACATGTTTAATATTTAGCTACTTAAACTGAATATGTAATCTATTTTATATCTTTTATTCTTAGAAAAGTTTTTTCTAAATTTTTAGTTTTCAGAAGTGTTTTAAAATTACTATTTTAAACTTCTTTGTTTAATTTCTTATGGACAATAAAAACTACATAGTTGTGATTATACAGACACGCCAAAGAACCTTTCTTTGTTTTAGTTCAGTCACTTTTGTAGTTTTTTATCATAATTGGCATACTGTCTGCGTGTCGGACCGAACACAATCGGATTTTTATAATAATGCATAATATGATTACAATAACATATTTAGTTATAAAATATATAACAAATGTCAAAATTTATATATTTAAAAAGACTATATCTGTAATTTCAAGTGACCCTCCATTTATAGAGTGGCATGTTTGATGTAAAACGCTTGAAAACGGGTACTATATTGCTTTATCCGTGCAACATATCAGCGTTGTCAAGTGTTAAATTCTGACATTTTCATTCTGTGTCTCATCTGCGTGGTCCGGAAGTCAATTTTTACAGAAAGTTAAGAAACCACAATGGGAAATTATCAATGTTTAGATAGAAAACTAAGATATTTCAATCATATTCTAAAACTGTTCCTTACGAAGATTACTTGTTGTGCAGGGTTCTAGTGGAATGCGTCTATTCCACAGCAATGACGACTTAACTCCTGTATACAAGATCAGAATTGGACATACAGCTGATCAGCATCTTGTTGTTATGCCAGGTATTGCAAAAATTAGTGTTTCTAAATCTCTTAGTTTTCTCATAATTATCAACAATTTTCTACAGAAATATATTTAGTTTAATTTGTATATCAAAATAAGAGCAATTCTTCACAAAAAAGTTATTTATGCAAAGTTGCAAATGAATACACAAAAATGAATAAAGATTAATATAAGAAGAAATGTATGCGAAACTCAAAATTAAGACTTTTTAAACTTATGATATATATATACACAGTGATAACCAGAAAACTCTGAAATGGGAAGTCGACTTTTAGAGTCAAATTTTAAGTTTAAAAAGTCAATTGAACACACCCATTTCACTTAATTACTGATTTGACAAGTGTCTAGCAGAACTTTATTCTTTGTAACAACATCAAATCCACTTAAGTATTGCTAAGTCGTACTCCTATTCCAGAGTTTTCTGGTTATCTATGTATATAAAGTTTATAACATAATTCATATCAATAAATATAATTGGAAGTATTTATTAGTGATATTTCGCCCCCACTCCCCTTTCTTTCCTAATAATGTGAATTGTGACATACTAATTTATTGCAGTTTATGGCTCATCGTCCCCATTTAATAATATTAAAGGGACTGTAAGTGTAACTTTAAGTAATTAAATTTTGCAGAGAAACCAGCAATCAAAATAAACAATTTATATACATATGTATACAGGATAAAGTATGTATATTCAACTTATTATTTATGGCAAAGTTTATCAAAGTTTTACAAATAATACAAATAATTTCGGCCTCAACACACCAAGACAAAGAAAAATGTGAATTTTCAATGAATATGTTTTATATAAGATTTAATGCAATTTTCTAAATTGCGATTTTCTCTCTACACCCTCCCGGCCCCTCGCTTCATTTTGTACGCCTGTTTATATTTTAGCGACATTTTTTTAATGTCTGCAGTTTATTTAATCTGAGCCCGCGATTTAAAAAAATCTTGAAAATACGGCTAGGGTCTTAGCTGTCGTTGGGCCTTATTTACGGCTTGAGCTTTCGGATTCAAGCTGCATCATATTTTCAACAGAGTTAAGTTGAAAAAAACTGGTTTAATAATTTATTTGGCGGATTTTCATGGAAGGAATTGGTGCATTCTGGGTTCTTAAAAGAACACGACTCAACATTAAGCCTTATTCTCCACTAAAAAAAACCAAGGTCGTTTTTATTTTCATTGGGTCTAACTCCTGAAGTCGAGTCGAAGATCTTGCAGCTGTCAATCACGTGACACAAGCTGTTGTTGGAGTTTGGACGAAGATCGGGTCTGAAAGTCAGGTTTAAGGAATTACGACTCGAGTCGAAGTTTTTATATCGCGGGCTCTGTTCAGATATTGTTCAAAAAAATATAAGAGGGAGAAGGGGTCGAAGAATCGAGTTTTTGCCACAAACTCAAATTTTTACCCTGTATCTTTGTAATCTGATGATTTAGACCTTGGATATTTCAAACTCAGATTATTTTGCTTAAAAGAATTTATAGCTTGCATTAAAATATCTAAGGTTAACGGCATCAAAATTTAAGGCAAATGAGCCCAGGGGTTCCTGAGTTATGATCGGACAAATAAACTAACAAACAGACAGAATAACAGAGATTACAACTTTATATATATAGATATGGCTGAATGGAGTGTATCAAGTATGTGCTCTAAGTTCTGTTTCACCTTTCCCGCTACCATTAATATCTCCAGGGTGACCCTTCTGGGTAGCCGCCATACAGACAATATGTTTATCAGGTAGCTTTCTTAATAACAGGATATAGGCTCTCTTTATCACAGGATATAGCTCTCTTTATAATAGAATACTGCTCTCTTTATAACATGATATAGCTCTCTTTATAACAGGATATGGCTCTCCTTATCACAAAATACTGCTCTCTTTATAACAGGGTACTGCTCTCTTTATAAATGAATATAGGTCTTTTTTAATATATATATATAAGTATTGTAATATTTAAAGCATTGGTTACTCATACTAAACTCCGCCTCGCCCCTTTCTCTCTTTGTTCTTTAAGTCAAAGCAAAATATAGAACCTGAAGATTGGACAGTGCACCCCAGATCTTTATAAAATACAGACGTAGAGTTTAATCTCCTGTTTTTTATAAAGGCCGGGGACTTGCATTTTAGACAGTTAACAGACAGCTAACAGATAGATGGATTATCGATATGCCTTATAGAGAACACGTGAGGCCAACAGCCTCTTCCCCATCATTACTTAGGAATGTGTATTCTCGGACTCCTCAGTCTTTGTATCCTTCCGTTTCTGGGACTGGACCATTTGCTCTCGTACCAGCTCGTCTAAACTACCCACTAGGATATCCTGGATACAGAGAAGAACTAGGATATCTATGCAACCTCATCTTTACAGACAGCTCTCCGCATATCTGGAGCAGCTAGAAGATATTAGATGCAGCCTCATCCTAATATCGATCTTTACAGACAGCTCTTCACATATCTGGAGCAGGTAGAAGATATTAGATGCAGCCTCATCCTTATATTGATCATAACAGACAGCTCTTCACATATCTGGAGCGGCGCCATGACAAACTCCGGAAAGACAAACTTCGGAAAGACAAACTCCGGAAAGACAAACTCCTGACGAGACAAACTCCTGAAAATAAAAACTTCTGAAATACAAACTCCAAAATATCAAATTTAAAAAATGTTTCACAATTTATATTTAATCCAGCCGCAGCGCTCGGCCCAGAAAGTGTCATAACTTAACCTAACCCATGGCCGCAGCGCTCGGCCCCCTAGCCTGTCCTAGCCGCAGCGCTCGGCCCCCTAGCATGTCCTAGCCGCAGCGCTCGTCCCCCTAGCCTGTCCTAGCCGCAGCGCTCGTCCCAGAAAGTGTCTTAACCTAACCTAACCCTAAATAATAAAAAATAAATAATAATAAATTTGCTGGTTATTCTGATCATTGTAATGCTTTGCTGCTTGAAGCATATTCAAATTACTAAAGATTGAGAATTTTTTCTAGGATATTTGCGGATTTTGTCTCCTAAAGTTTATGAATTTTATCATATTTCATTCAGAGAAAATTTTCATAATTTCAGGAGTTTGTCTTTCAGGAGTTTGTACTTTCAGGAGTTTGTACTTTCAGGAGTTTGTCTCGTCAGGAGTTTGTCTTTCCGGAGTTTGTCTTTCCGGAGTTTGTCATGGCACCTCTGGAGCAGCTAAAAGATATTAGATGCAGCCTCATCCTTATATCGATCTTTACAGACAGCTCTCCACATATCTGGAGCAGCTAGAAGATATTAGATGTAGCCTCTTCCTTATATCGATCTTTACAGACAGAGCTCCACATATCTGGAGCAGCTAGAAGATATTAGATTCAGCCTCATCCTTATATTGATCATAACAGACAGCTCTTTACATATCTGGAGCAGCTAGAAGATCCAGTCAGACCTAGGACTCATAAACAACATAACATAGCTCATAAACAAAAAAATTAACGGTTGGTGACCTATTATGTTTAGTTTATGAATCTACGCCTCAAATGATCAAATATAAATACAGAACGTATTTCTAGATCTCGAGGTGTGCTTCTCTCTTTTTCTCATAAAAAGTCTGCTTTTTTAACTTTTCAATTTTTATTGTAATACAATGTTGCGATAGTAATACGGGAATCCCGAATACATTTAATAATACTAATTTCTAAAAATTTAATTTACAATTCTCGTAAAAAGAAATTATAAAGGCCGGGGAAATTTTGGTTATTAAATATTTATTTTGAAATTGGCAACTGCATAATTGCATTTAAAAACCAAATTGTTTTACTTGTATGGAGTAAACAAAATAATGGAAAACCCCTTTATGTTTGATTATATCTTTTATTCTTTTATAAATATATAATTAAACTTTTTCCTACATCTTTTGAAAACAATTTTAAAAAGCTTGAACACTTTGATAGATCTCTTAACTATCAACTTGAAATTCTCAAAATGTGCTCATTACAGTATTTACCATCAAGCTCTCTTCTTAAGATGTGGAATAACCTGCCTCTTGACTTAAAAAGAAGCAACTCTCTAAGTATATTTAAAAATAGACTACTTTGCATAAAGATAAATCATACCCCATGATCTCTAATAGTTCTCAAATCTATTTAATTGAAATATTTTGTTATCATCATTGAAATTAGGTGGAAAAAATAATCAAAACAGCCAAGAGCTATTTTCTACCTAATTTCTTTATACTTTATACTTTATACTGTTAACAAAAATTATCAAATAGCAATTGTAAACTCGAGTTGTGTACACAGATACATGTACTTTAGCAATAAATTTATCTATCTCTTTATCTACCACGCCACATGTCATCAATCTATCTATCTACCACGCCAACAAGGTTATCTATCTAACACGCTAACAAGGTTATCTATACATCTATCTACCACGCCAACAAGGTTATCTATCTAACACGCTAACAAGGTTATCTATACATCTATCTACCACGCCAACAAGGTTATCTATCTAACACGCTAACAAGGTTATCTATACATCTATCTAACACGCTAACAAGGTTATCTATACATATATCTACCACGCCAACAAGGTTATCTATCTAACACGCTAACAAGGTTATCTATACATCTATCTACCACGCCAACAAGGTTATCTATCTAACACGATAACAAAGTTATCTATACATCAATCTACCACGCCAAAGGTTATCTATCTAACACGCTAACAAGGTTATCTATACATCTATCTACCACGCCAATAAGGTTATCTATCTAACACGCTAACAAGGTTATCTATACATTTATCTACCACGCCACCAAGGTTATCTATCTACCACTCCAACAAGGTTATCTATATATCTACCATCTACCACGCCAACAAGGTTTTAACTATTAGGGCCTCCAAGACCTTTTTGGGGTTCCAAACCTCACGAGCGTAGTTAATTATCCTCATGAAAACTCCCGGTTAAGTAGTAATTTATTGTTTAATCTCCTGTTCAACGAAATAACCAACCGTGGGGGATAAAATAATAATGAAATCAATAAAACTATCAATTATGATTTTAATTCTCTTATTTCTTACTAATGCATGGAAGAATATTTAATTTCTTGATCTAAATCTTGAATTAAATCTGTATGGATCACAGAGGAAGGATAAGTAATTATCCTCCCTGTAAATAGGGAGGATAAGTAATTATCCTCCCTGGAATTAAAAAAGGAGAGAATTTAAGGTTGGTTATTTCGTTGAACAGGAGATTAAATAAATAACGAATACCGAATGAAATTACCATGTTTATTGGAACACTAAACTAAAATGTTTAGTGAGAAACCCTGTATATCTTCATGTTAATTGGGACTCCCTGTATATCTTCATGTTTAGTGGGACACCCTGTACATATTCATGTTTTGTGAGACACCCTGTATATCTTTATATTTAGTGAGACACCCTGTATATATTCATGTTTAATGGGACACCCTGTATATATTCATGGTTAGTGAGANACCACCCTACCAGGTTATATTTTATAGATCCTTGAACCACCCTACCAGGTTATATTTTATAGATCCTTGAACCACCCTATCAGGTTATATTTTATAGATCCTTGATCCATCCTACCAGGTTATATTCTATAGATTCTTGATCCACCCTACCAGGTCATATATAATTGATCATTGATACACCCTACCTGGTTATAAATTATTGATCCCTGATCCGTTTTACCAGGTTATATTTTATAGATACTTGAACCACACTACCAGGTTATATTTTATAGATCCTTGAACCACCCTACCATGTTATATTTTATAGATCCTTGAACCACCCTACCAGGTTATATTTTATAGATCCTTGAACCAGAACCACCCTACCAGGTTATATTTTATAGATCCTTGAACCACCCTACCAGGTTATATTTTATAGATCCTTGAACCACCCTACCAGGTTATATTTTATAGATCCTTGAACCACCCTACCAGGTTATATTTTATTGATCCTTAATCCATCCTACCAGGTTATATTTTATAAATACTTGATCCACCCTATCAGGTTATATTTTATAGATCCTTGATCCACCCTACCAGGTTATATTTTATCTACCCAGGTTTTATTTTATTGATACATAGTTCTGTTCTTGGTTGATTTATTGATTGGTGACCTGGTTCTGGAGTTTATGTACAGTACACAGAATTTGTACATAATTTTGTTCTAGGTTGATTTAGCGACTGATGAATTGGTTCTGGAGTTTATGTACAGTACACAGAATATGTTCATAGTTCTGATCTATGTTGATTTATTGACAAATGAATTCGTTCTGAAGTTACATACAATACATAGAATATGTACATAGTTTTGTTCTATGTTGATATATCGATTGTTGAATTGGTTCTGGAATGTTTGTAACTGTGTACAATATACAGCATATGTGCATAGTTCTGTTCTATGTTGATTTATCGATTAATAAACTGGTTCTTGAGTGTGTGTACTGTACAATACACAGAATATGTACATAGTGATATTCTAAGTTGATTTATCGATTAATGAACTGGTTCTTGTGTGTGTGTACAATACTTAAAACATATTTCTGTTCTATAGGTTTATTTGTAGATAGATATGAACTGATTCTTGTACAATACACAGAATATGTACATAGTTCTGTTCTAGGTTCATTTATCGATTGATGAACTGGTTACGTAGAGTGTGTACAATACACAGAATATGTACATAGTTCTGTTTTAGGTTGATTTGTCGACTGATGAACTGGTTCTGGAGTGTGTGTACAATACACAAAACATGTACAGTGTGTTCTCAGGATCATTGGAATCGAAACAACCACAGAAATGTCAGGTTAAAAGATTATAGGTTTTCATAGAACAAAAAATAAAATATTGGCCATGGAGCACAATTAGCAAATATGTCACGCATTATGGCCATTTTCAAAGATATTAAAAAATTTAAAAGTATCACAACTTCCGCTAAATGTTTGATTTTTAGGACAACATTTATATTTAGGATTAAAATTTTACAATTTTTATTGAACAGACCATCAAATTAATTATGTTAGATGGAATTACTTAAGCTTAATATCCTTTAACAAGCCTGGGATTCTTACCAAATGGTATTTTTTTTCTCAAATTTTTGTTTTCCAAATGAAAACTTCGCTGAAAATGGACAGCTACGTAAAGGTCAAAGCCTGCCGCCTGGCTACCTTGATATTAGTTTTGGTATTCAAACACAAATGCCAGATAGTATTTATGGAGTATTCAAATTCAATATTAATAAATGAATTAGAATGTTCAAGGTTGTACAGTACAAAATTATTTATATTTAAAAATAGAATACTTTTATGGCATTAATAAGTATGCAATATATTTATTTCAAACCAAAACTTGCAACGATAAAAGAAACCAAAATGTTTTTGTTAATGTACTCAAAAATACTATAAACTAACCGTATTTACAGGCAGTGTTATCCTATACTGGAAATGATCTGAAGGTTAAGTCTTGTCTCAGTAAACCGAAAACCTCCACTATTCAGGAATTATACTATTCAAAATAGATCATCTTAAAATTTAACTGAAAGATACCTTCAAGTGACTTTCAACTTTAAATGCCCTGTAAATCTTTACCTGATGTATAGTTCTCACAATTCTCTCCATTGTTTTTCTGTAGCAAGAAATCCGCAAGTGTCAAAAATAAACCATGGATATCTCATTCATTCTTGTCCAGACAAAGCTTTTCTGGGAACAGACATTCATCTGTTTATATATAAATTAAGCCTCCAATTACATTTTTTTTAAAATTTCCTTTGAAACTAATAAATAGCCACAAAGTTCAATTTTCAATTTATTTTATTTTAGCAACAGCTGATGGTGCAGACCTTTCATCAGTTTTTTTAGATCAAATAGTCAAAGTTCAACATAGTTTATATAAGTTTAGTTTTTCATTCAAATATTATAATTTGACATATAGTATACTTTTCAAGGATTCCCTAGGACTAAATGTTTCAGATACTGGAGACCTGAATAACCAGGGTAATATAAATATTTGTTTATCCCTATATCACATTATCTTCCCGGCTCATCCTGGCCGGCTTGATCAATAAACATCTATTTTATTGTATCAACTGAATTTTGTATTGCTAGAGAAATAATTTTGCAAAGGAATTGAGTTAATGCCAAAAATTCTAACTTTTCAATCCCTATATCTTTGCAACCCGATGTGGAAGCATTAAGGGATTAAATACTAAAGTGGGCCAAACTCAAAAGTGGATGACAACATTTCATGTCCCAAGTATTTAAAAATATATATATATAAATTGGTCTGTACGGAGTGCACAGTACGACAGAAACTGGACTCCCTTTGTTTACAAACTCAGTATAGAATAATAATAATAATAATAGATTAACGTAAAATTAAGATTTCAGAAGTGAAGTTTAGCCATTTTACTGCACGATTTCAGACAGCGCAATAATGCCTGCATAGCCTGTAAAACAAGGAATGCACAATTTGTGATACCGAAAAATAAAGATTTTCGAAATATATATCTTGGTCTTCACTTTTGTATTTTGACAGATTTAAAAGCGTATTCAGGGTTTTTTCCCAGGAAGGGCTTACATTTCTTTATCTTTTTAAGGGGGGGGGGGGGGCAAACCCCCCCATAGCCCCCCTGAATACGCCTCTGGATAATAACATAGATATTTACAAACATATTTCGGAATGGAGTGAGATTGGAAAGAACAAAACTAAGCAGTTTCAAAGATAAATTGCTATAGAATTAGAAGTGCCAGGCAAAATCAATGAATTTATTAAGCGACTATATAGTATTTATATATAAACTACATACAAACATACAAAAAATTTCTATTTTTAATTATAAAAATAAGTTATAGCTGAAGACGACATTTATATGGACCTTAAGTCTATTTTTTCTAGTCTTTACTTACTAAATGAAATCTTTTCATGCAATTATTTCCAAACCAAATAAAACCTTATGGCCCAACCTGTCGTCGTTGCCTTTGTCTGTTCCACTTTAGTATTTATTCATTTGATGTGGAAGACCTGAGATATTTCAAACTATGAATTCTGTAAGATAAAATGTCTTAGTTTGAAATACAACTGTACGTTATAGACCAATTTTTTTGTGTTAACTTGCTTAACCGACGCCAGAAGAGGTTAATGACCGCGCTGTCAGAAGTTAAAAATGGTATCTTAAAGAAGTTGTTTTGAAATGTTTAAAAAGAATTTGCATTTACATTTAGATTCCTTGGTCACATGGTTTGGAAAACAAATGGATGAAAAAAGAAAAGAAATAAACTCGGAGATCAGAAGTAAAAGTTTGAGGTAAAATGGATGCAAAAGAAATTTACTTTTTTATCTTTTAACATTTTATTCATAAACACAATGTTTCATGTTTTTGCAATTATCAGAATGTATTTATTTCTTAATTCTTTTTTTTAAGTGGAGTTTGTATGTTTGCGATGGATAAAAAGCTGCTGGATAATATTGGATCTATCCCCAAGGAAATATCAGAAGCTTTAATCAAACAAAAAAACTTAATTTTTTTAAAAATAATAAATAATTAAAGCTGCAGAATAATACGAGATTTTTCCAAAACTTTACAGTCTTCGAGGCAACTTAAAAAAATTGACATGGAAGTTTTCAAATTACCAGTCGATCATACTCCATTAAAGGAATTGAGTCTTTGGAACAAAATCAAATATTTAAACCTCAATATCTTTAGAACTCGATGTTGTAAACCTTTGATAGTTCAAACTCAGATTATTTGAACTAACAGAGTTTATAGTTTGAAATATCTAAGGTCTGCAACATTTGGTTCCAAAGATATAGTGATTAGAAAATCAGAGTTTGTGGCAAAGGTTCAATTCTTTTACTCTTGAAATTGAGTTGTACAAATGCAAGAAATTTTTAAATACATTTTTTGAATTTGTAATTTTTAAACTATCTGATATGTCAGGAGAAGATGCTGTTTGAAAATGACTGCAGCCTCAACAAAGCAATTAGTTCCAAAATATCAGAAACTGGATTATTAGAAAATAATAATCTAAAGAATAATATCACTGAAAGTAAAGATAGTTTTCAGTTTCCAAGCCTTGAACTAGAATCTGTCCTGGCAATAGTGGAGGAAAATAACATTGCTCGTGATACGTCTTTTGGAAGTTCTGAAGGAGAATTGAAAATAAGTTCTGAAAACGAGATTGCAACTGCAGACGCAGATACGATGATAAGTTCTGAAAACGACACAGAATTAAAGATAAGTTTCGAAAACGAGATTGCAACTGACACAGATATAAAGATAAGTTCTGAAAAAGACGTTGCATCTGATACAGATTCGATGATAAGTCCTGAAAACGAGGTTGCAGCTGACGCAGATACGATGATAAGTTCTGAAAACGAGGTTGCAGCTGTAACAAATAAAATGATAAATTCTGAAAAAGACGTTGAAGCTGACCCAAATACAAGTTCTGTAAACGAGGTGGCAGCTGACACAGATCCAAATACAAGTTCTGAAAAAGAGGTTGCAGCTGACACAGATCAAAATACAAGTTCTGTAAACGAGGTTGCAGCTGACACAGATCCAAATAAAAGTTCTGAAAAAAAGGTTACAGCTAACACAGATTTAAAGATTAGTTCTGAGAAAGTTGATTCAGAAGATGACAGGAATGATATTGTTTTCCCTTCCGGGGATGATATTGCTCCTATTTTAAGCCTACACATTAATGCAGATAACAATGAACAGTCTGAATCACAGGACGAATCTAAACCAACATCAGATTCAGATCAAATCATCATTTTTGAAAATGACGAGGATGAAAACTATGATGAATATGCACCTGAAGTAGATTGGGTTGACAAAGACTCTCTTAATGCTGATCTAGAATCTAAACTAACAAGACAGACTAGCGTGGGATACCAGGATATGGTTTCTCAGGAACCAAGAATTAAAGATATAGATCTTCAACCAAATCTAGAGATTATGGTTGAAGCTTTAGAAGACACAGATAGCTCTGAACCTGAATCTGAACCAAGTGCAGAGCCTGAATCTGAATCAAGCGCTGAATCTGAACCTGAACCTGAATCTGAACCAATCGCTGAACCTGAACCTGAATCTGAACCAAGCACTGAACCAGAACCTGAATCTGAACCTAAATCTGAACCAGAACCTGAATTTGAACCAAGCGCTGAACCAGAACCTGAATCCGAACCAAGCGCTGAACCAGAAACTGAATCTGAACCTAAACCTGAACCAGTATCAACCACAACTATGAAATTACAATCAACCTCTATTCCAGCAACCACACCTAGACCTGCTCCGACCCAACCTAGAGTTACTGAAACAGTAAGACCGACCAGCACGTCTGGAACTGAAACACCGTCGCTTAAATCTTCTAATCTAGGAGAAAATCCGTCTGCTCTTCTATCTGCTAAGCTAGATAGGAATTCTGCTTCGTCCCTATACCATTCACCTGCTAGAATCGCTCTTTTATTCCTAGTACAAATAATTAATTTCAAAAAGCAATATTTTTAACTAAAACATTCATCAACCTTTGGTTAAAGTATCTACAGGGTGTCTCATTAAAGGTTATCATTGATAAACACTATAGCGATCGTCTTTGAGAGCTCCCTTATGAAAAATGTAAATAAAAAAAGCCACACGACTTGTTGACATTTCAAAATACGATCAATGTTCCGCCTGAAAAGCTTATAAATCGAGCAACCTATTTTTGATGCACATTTCCTAATTTGCTATTAAATTTAAATAATGATCTTTGAGTAGATTCTGCCTTGCTTAATGTAACATTCTTGATTTTTTTATTCATATAATTATTTGTGTAGTTAACTTGTTAACTTCAAAATTTATATTTTTAATCCAAACACCTAGATAAATCTATATATTCTTAAAGTAAATATATGATTATGAACGCACAGATATGCGCCAAAGAAAACAAATCATTTTTATAAAATTGTTGAAATTTGGTATAAAAATAATTATGAGAAAAAAATTCAAACCGAAGCAAAACACGCTAAATCTGTTTTTCAAATTGTCATAGATAAATTTGAAGTTCTAATAAACTTGCAAATTAAAGTTTATGTTTTTTTACTTTCTTTGTCCCACTAATTCTTTATGAACATTCTATGATGCTTTAAAAACTATTTATTAAAATGATCATTGTTATGAGTAAGATATTCTTGTACTGTACTTCATTTACTAACATATTGTAGAGAAACAAAGTAAATAAACGGTTCTGTCTGATTTTTTTGTAATCCGATATGCATGACATTGATGTCAAAAATTATTTTAAGTGAAAAAAATTCAAATCATTGCATGTAACAATTGTGTGACTTATTCAAAATTGCAAAGTTTTAAAGTAAAAATATATTAAAACATATTCTTGTAAATGAGGATCAGATGGATATTGTAGTCTTGTATATCTTTAGATAGGTCTAGTTTTTCCTTTCACAACACTTATTCTGAGGCCGAATTTAAAGAATTTGAGCCGCCGCTCAAATATGGTTATTTCACTTTAAATTGTATTCAATGTTTCAAGATTTAAGCCGGTGCTTAATTGAAACCGGTTTTTTGAGGATTTAAGACACGGCTCAAATTCATTAAATTCGGACACTGGTTAGTTATTTGGTAATTGGCTAATTTCTTGTCAAACATCAAATATTATTCTCGGACGGCTAATAAAAACCTTTTTATCACCGCGATCACGGACCTTGTAATAATGTTTATAAAGGAACGCAAGATCACTCATAAAAAATGCTGTACATATATTTATAAGAAAATTAAGAAATTGGATATTCATTTACTTTATATTTTATTGGTCAATGATGTCCTAGGACTGATGATGATGTAGAAAAACATCAAAATATATTTTCTACTTTGAAGTTGTTCATTCCACAGATAGAGAACACTTTTAACCAATTCGGATTTTTACAATTAAGAATCAACATGAGATTATATGTATATTCAATGCAAATGTGATTATATGTATATTTAATGCAAATGTGATAGATTACAAATAAAATTGAATAATATGCATATAATGATTGATTAACTAATAAACAGCTTTAAAGGATACTGCTGTAAATCGAATATGTTTCCACAAACAATAAGATTTTAAAGCAACAACGAACTTTTCACACACAGTGATATGAAGGTTAAATCTACGATAAATATAATTCTGTTGTTGAAAAGAATTAAAGTAAATGAAAAATAGATATGACTACATTTAATATGTGCAGTCGACTTTTAACCTTCTAAATATATTCTGTTGTTGAAAAGAATTAAAGTAAATAGAAAATAGATATGACTACATTTAATATGTGCAGTCGACTTTTAACCTTCTAAATATATTCTGTTGTTGAAAAGAATTAAAGTAAATGAAAAATACATTTGACTACATTCAATATGTGCGGTCGACTTTTAACCTTCTAAATATACGGTTTGTAGACTGAACCAGAAAACTGTGAATTTTTCTTTATTTTATTTACAAATTAACTATTTTTAATGAAGTGCTTTAAGATCGGAACTTTGTCTCGAATATTAACCCTATCCCTGCTGGGGTACTTGAAAACCAGGATATGCTGGGGGGGGGGGGTCAATTTGACCCCCCCTTTAAATCCCATGTTTGATGTCCAAATATGACAAATGATACATCATTAGAAAGCTCTTGTGCTCTACTTTTAGAATCTGCAAAAAAATTTGCAAATTTGCAAAAATTGAATTTTTTATCGCAAAATCCAGTTATATAGTAAAAATGTTTGCAAAAATAATTTGTCCAAAAAATGAAAAATTAAACATTTTTGAAAAGCCCTTGACCATGCCATTTCAAATATGCAATTTTGCAAAATTTTAAATAACCTGATTTTTAATCAAGAAAAACTAAAAATGTGAAAATTTCCTTTGACAGGTTGTTTGCAAAAAATTTGCAATTTTTTTTCTCGCAAAACTTGTGCAATCCGTTTCCTTATGTCATAGGCTTTCCAAAAAGCTAAATTTTATCAAAATCTGACAAATGAAAGTGGGTCAAAACAAAGATTTAGTTTGTTACAGGCAAAAGCAGTCATTCAGGCAGTGTGCCTGAGGGCTCAGGCAGTTCGTATTAAAGCTCGGTTTTAGGCCTAAAGGGAGGGCTTTGGGTGTATAAGAAAAGTCAGAGAATTTCAACAGCCTCAGACCAATACTTTTTGAGTTATGTATAAAAAATTACAGTGGGGGGTCAAATTGACCAAATTGACCCCCCCCCCCCCAGCAGGAATAGGGTTAATATATCATTAACGTTTTATCTCAATATTCAATGTGTTTACTTTTGCGGATTAATGCTTGATCCTTCAATTATGGTTATTCTATATCTCTCCAGAGCTTCTCATTAACACACTAGCTCTGACGCCTAAACGTTTTTAAGCGAAATTAAAAAAAACTCGGAAAAGACGACATTCATTTTATAGTTTTCTCATTACAGGTTTTCAACTGAAGAGAATTGAAAAAGTATAATTGAATAGGTTAAAGAGATGGAAACTATAGACATCAATGTGATCCTCTGTATTGAGAAGAAACCCAGCGCGGAGAATGCGGTCTCAGTTTCGATTTCCTGAATCAGGTTTTTAACAGCTCTTTTGTTTTCGTAACAACAGTTCTCCAGATTATCTCTAAAATCAGTGAATAGTTCAAATGTAAATTATTTTTTTTTCCCCAATTCTTTTAAATTTATTAAAAAATTTAATATTTTCTTTATTTCAACTGAATATTAAAGCACAAAAAAGTTACCCCATTTTTAAATCTTTTTAAGAACTAAATAACATGTTATTGCAACTTACCTAAGCTTTAGAGCTAAGGATTGATAAACTTTGAAGGATTTCTCCAGCATAAGAATGATATAAACCATCTCTAAAAACAGTCCAGGGAAAAAAAATAAAAAAAAGTCATAATTTTTGGCAGAGAAAAGGGAGATAAAGAAATTGACGACGGTAAAGCAGAATTTCACAAATAACCACGGTGAAATACCGTCCTTGAACTCCTTAAACTCCTTGACAAGTTGCTTCACTTTTATTTCACTAGCATCCTCCTGGTGTTCAGTTGTATACTGGTTTATGTTAAAACTACTCTGAGCTGCAGATGCACCAACCAGAAATATGTCAAGGAAACACAGTAGTTTATGAAGCATAACGAAAATGGATTGAAATATAAACATTGGAGGTAAAAGATAGATTATGGGTGATAGGTTTGAAATCAAATTTAGAATGAGCAAGAAAATATGACTTGGCCTCTGAAGTTCATGGTTTTCCAGTAAAAATGGACTTTTCTCCACAAAGTAAGCAATAGAAGGGAGAACACAAATATTCTGAAGAACCATCAACAAATCTACTGTTGCTAATGCCAATAATTTAATGGAAACGTTTTCTACGCTATCTTTTAGTTCTACATAAAGAAACGCTGCTCCTAATCCAGCATAGATCAGACACCAAGATAATAATCCACAAATGTTTGCAATCCTTGATCCCGATCCAGGGATCAACTTGATAAAGGAAAGTCCTGAAACAATATATGAAGTTATGCTTTGAGACAGCATAGTGTTAAACTAATAGAGTAAAGGGAACCAGCCTTCAAAACAAACAGAGAAGAATTCAATAAATCTATATTTTTAAACATATAACAAAGTTGCAAAGGTTTAAGGATTTTGCCATTTCAGGAGTTTTTCTCTTCAGGATTTTGCCATTTCAGGAGTTTTTCTGTTCAGGATTTTGCCATTTCAGGAGTTTTTCTCTTTAGGTTTTGCCATTTCAGGAGTTTTTCTCTTTAGGATTGTTACTTCAGGAGTTTGTATCTTCAGGATTTTGCCATTTCTGGAATTTGTCAAGTTAAAATTTTGTCTTACAAGAGTTTGTTTTTTAAGGAGTTTTGCTTACTTGACTTTGTCTCCTCATGAGATTGCCTTGTCGTCATTAAGAATAAAATATTTTGAAAACATCTTATATTAAGTCTGTACCAATAATCACATTTAAATCTTCAATATTTGAGATATTTTTACTAAACACAATAATATTGAAATGATGATATCTGACTAAAACTTTATAGGGCTTCATTTGTTTTAAAACACCCCTATACATATTACATATATATGTTAGCTTTAGAAGCCTAAAGATAATTTCGACTCTATTATTCTCCTGTTTTTTGGGACACCCCAATATACAATATTCCAAGGTTAACATAAGAATAAATCATCCAGCCATTTCTTGTCTTAAACAACTTTCTATATTATGAAGCAAAAAAAAAAACTTTTCAAAGTCAGCCAATTATTTATTCTTTACAATTTGTTCGTCCATCTGTCATAATCAATTCTTCTATCATTATCATGAACATTCTTCAGGGGCCATCCAACCTCCAGATCTTAGTGTTCTAACTTGAAAAGGGTTCATTTCTGATAATTTTTTCCATTGTTTAAGAAGCAATAAATGCGCAAATATCTTTTGAAGAGAAACCACAAACATAAAAGAATTTTCAGAAACCAAAAACATGGATATCTAATTCAAATATAAACAAACAAAGCTTTAAAGGGCACCCAATTGGGGTCATTTTAAATAACATGGATAACAAAAATTTTAACACTGCTGATTTATTTTGCAATTTTGAAATTGAAATTTTATAACTATTTGTGTTTCTTTATGTTTATTGTATAATTGATTATTGTACTGTATACAAGCATATTAATCTTTACTGTGTAAAGTTTTACTGCAGTTGAGAGTTTGAATCAATGAATTTTTATAATTTAAAGGGACTGTCTAAGTGATTTTGAACGACCTAATATTTTTAAAAGTTATTGACAGAATCATCGAGAAGTTGCAACTCATTCTTTAATAGAAAAATATAAAAAAAATCCATGGTCTTTATCTTTTAAGGAATTAAACGTTTTACTTAACACTATTTACGTATACTAAGTAGTAAGTACCATTCACAATTCAAAACTGCACAGTTTAGCCCATGCAAAGAGATTTATTTATAAAAGTCCACTTGATTTGTACAAAAAATACCATTGAGAAAATGGTCGCGATTTTTCCAATTGCAGATAGAAGATTTTTGAGTCCTGAGTCAGCGTTTCTTATATATTGAATAGGATCTCTTGTAAATAAATAAGAACACTCTTTAGTTAAAGGGTAACAGAAGATTGATCATTCCTTTAATAAACTTTTTAATTTTCTTGGTTTTACAATACCTTGAACACTAACAGTAAACAGAACTGCAGTATAAATTTATTTTCAAAGATAAAAAACTATAAAATAAAACAATTTAAATTACTTTCCTGAGAGTAGGCCGTGGGGAAATTTATTGTAAATGAACAGTACAAAATTGAATTTAATGCATTTGTGCAGCAAGCTTTATCAAAGGGATTTAATTTTCAGTGATTTATCATTTCTGTTCGTGATAAAAAGAGTGAAGGAAAAAACGTATGTGTTTTCGTTGCCTTAAACTTACATACATTAAGGTTTAAAATTTTCTGTGTTTTAATGTTTTTTTTACGTGTTTTGATGTTTTGAATGTTCTCTTCTTTAGTTTGTCCACTATTTATACAAGAAAAAAATCGTGAACGGATTGCTAACGGCTAGCGCCGTTTAAGACTTCTAAATATCTTCCGTACGCGTCGTTTCTGAGATTGAGATAATTTACGAAAGGTATTTTTTAAAAAGAACGGAAAATTCTGCTAGCTTAGCGGAACGCTTAGACTTCTTAGCTGAGAACAAAAGATTATCTGAAAAGTTTGTGTTTGAAACGATTTCAGTCAACAAATAACGTACGGCTTTAAAAAGTCTTAACTAGGGTTTCCAGCGAAAAGGAGTAATTGTTTTGCGAAAATTTAGCTTTTTGTTCGCTTGCAAAAAATGTGAAATTTTCGTTTTTCTCGCAAATTTTGCTTTAATCCGTTTCACGAAAAAATGCGAAAACAATTCTTTTGATCAAAATTTATTAATGAAAAGAAAAGAAATTTTTGATTATGGTAAAATAAAACTTTAATGCTAAGGTTTCAGAGCAGAGACATCAACTAGTTTTTTTTCAGTTTAGATGAATAACTTGTTAGATCGTCTTTGCTATGGAAATTGATTTTATAAACCATATATATCGTTGTTTATGTTTAGGCTCATCATCCTTGATCCGTCGAAGATATAAAGGGTATAAAGGGTACCCTTGTGAATCTAAACTAAATCTCTTGAAATGAAATGTTACCTAAAATTAGGCAGAGAGTGTATTCTCCATATATACTTTGTCCTTGTGGTTCCTGGAAAGTTTTGAAAGCGAGGTTCTTATTGACAGAGTAAATATAGGTTTTTAAAGTTTATTTTCCAAAACAAAGTTAACAATTTTAACCTTGATATTGAACCCTATATGGGCCTCAGTCTGGCTCAGACAGTCAGACTATTGGGATATTATTTCTAAAAGTTACAATTCCTTAATTTTAATTTTAAGAAAGGGTTCATTAAAGAAACTCAACAGTTTAATTTTCTAAAACTTAAACCAATGCAACTTAAAGGCGTAAACCTTAGATATATTAATCTAAGTCTGAGTTATCAGGTTGCAAAGATAAAGAGGTTTGAAATTTAGTGTTTGATTAAGTTTTAAATTCACTTGAATCAAAATTAAGTTATGAGTTTTATGAGATGATATGTTTTAATAATTCAAATATTTAATTTTCTCTTGCAAGTTGCAAGTCATAATAAAGTAATGTGACGTCCTTTTTTGAAATCATTAGACACTACCTTTCAGCTGAACCTCAATATTTCAGATTTACAAGTTAGTCGAAGCAAAATTTCAAAAATGGTGGTAAGTTATTTTGCTTAACCCTAAAAAGGCTGGGGGGTCTGAAACTATGTGTAGCCCCCCCCCCCCTAGAAATAGGGTTGAAATGCACGTTCATAGCCCAATTTTTCAAGGCCAGCTTACTGAAAAAAATAAAACCGGTAATTTTTAGGGTGGGTTGAAAAAGTGCCAAAATAAGGATAACATTTTTTTTTTTTTAATATTAAGATGTGACACATGTTTCTACATTTTTCAAGGGCTTTTCAAAAATATAGTTTTAACATCGGTTTTTAGTTTCTAATCACAACTTGACTTTTTACACGAACTGGACTTTTTACCGCCCTGTACCCTACCCTATGCATTAAAATTTTTTCTTTACAAAAATCCGTTAAATTTCTTCTCATTAAAAGTAAAAACATTTCACGGTGATGATAGTATCAAAAATGAGAGTGCTTAGCAAAAAAGCTAGAGTAGGGGGGAGGGGTGTCAAACACGCCCCCCCCCCAGGTTGTTTATGGTTAAATTGCTATAGATAGATGAATATATTTTATTATTCTAAGGAAACGGTGAAGATGGATCAGTCGGATGAAAATCCTAACTTGGAGATGAATTTTGCTGAAACTAAAATCCTACAATACTGTCCTGCTGATGAAGTTGAGGGATCCAACTGTCCATCCCCTGATAAAATCCTACTATACTGTCCTGCTGATGAAGTTGAGGGATCCAACTGTCCCTTCCCTGATAAAATCCTACAATACTGTCCTACTGATGAAGTTGAGGGATCCAACTGTCCCTTCCCTGATAAAATCCTACAATACTGTCCTGCTGATGAAGTTGAGGGATCCAACTGTCCCTCCCCTGATAAAATCCTACAATACTGTCCTGCTGATGAAGTTGAGGGATCCAACTGTCCCTCCCCTGATAAAATCCTACAATACTGTCCTGCTGATGAAGTTGAGGGATCCAACTGTCCCTCCCCTGATCCACATGTTAGCACTAGAAGATGCTCTTCTGGTAGGATTTCTTGTTATAAATTGGAAGAAATTCAATCAACGTTGTTAAACTATCGAATTAGCAGTTCTATCTATATCAAAAACTCGGAAAAAAATTCAAGAAATACTGATTTTAAAGGATCTCTTAATAACATTTTAATTTTTTTTTTTTAGAATCTCACAAAACTTTGATAGAACCTCATAAAACTTTGATAGAATCTCACAAAACTTTGATAGAATCTCATAAAACTTTGAAGGATAACATAATCTTTAGATTATCTAATACAACTTTGATATAAACTCTTGGTAGAATCTCACAGACCTCTGATAGAATCTCACAAAACTTTGATAGAACCTCATAAAACTTTGATAGAATCTCATAAAACTTTGATAGAATCGCATAAAACTTTGATAGAATCTCAAAAAACTTTGATAGAATCTCATAAAACTTTGATAGAATCTCATAAAACTTGGTAAAATCTCATAAATCTTTGACAGAATCGCATTAATCTTTGAAAAATTTTATAAAACTTTGAATGATTCTAGTAAAACTTTTAGAATAAAAATAGAATGATTTGAATAGCAAAAGATTTTACGTTTATATGGCAAAGTTAAGCCTTTTTGATGAATTAATTAATGAACTATAGCTATCATTTTGATATGCAAAGAGAAAACCCTTTTTAACATTGAGAACACAATGATATTTTACAGGACTAAATCTAAAATACACATTTAATGATGGTTTGTATTTATGTCTTTTCTAGGAAGCACCGGGTATTCTACATGTTCATCAGAAATACACTCTGTTAGGTATAAAAATACACTCTGTTAAATTAAACCCTAGATAAATAGGGGTCAGGGAGAGGAATTGGGGCTCTGGAGGTAATTGAGCCAGCCCCCCCCCCCCTCCTCCTACAAAAAGGCCTGCAACGTATTTTTTGTTAATAGACCATTTTGACAAAATCAGTTCATGTAATGGTTTAGGTGCTAAGGAGGTCTAAAAAATGCAGTGAAAGTGTAAAAGATTTTTTTCACGTTTGACAACCATTATACATGTGGCGCATGTTTCTATGTCTATTTTTTAAGTTTAGGCTTTGAAGCTCGTCAATAAATTTTTAAGACGTTTTGGGCTATAATTTTTTATTAAGCGTCTAGTCCCAGTGTCATTTCGATAACTATGTAGCAAACCAGCACATGCACTACAATAACGTTTTAAAAAAGTCAAAATTTAAACCACTATTCAGAAAAATCGTAAAGGGGTGGGGGTCTATGAATACCCCTCCTCTAAGCCTTTTTAGGGCTAAATGATAAAGAAAGGAAAGATTACTTTTTTCTTTTATCAGACAAGCTGGCAAAGAAAGTCATGAGGAAGTGTACATTGAACATCTGGAGACTGAAGATGAACCTGAACCAGATGACAGGGAAGAAGAGAACTCCAATGATGATCTTGACTCACTAGGAAATGAGAGTGACCGCTGTCACAGTGCTGGACTGAAATGGTCATCAAAGAAGAGTTTCCAGAACCTTCGACGAGGATCGAATGGGTATCATTCAATAGAATCTAAGCATAAGCTACTAACCCCAACTTCCCTTGGTGATGCCATTACAGGCGTTTTTCAAGTAATCGAGGGTAATATCAAAGATCTGAAATTAAATCATGAAAACACGGTTAATCAGCTCCGAACCGAGCAAGAAGAACGGTTTACTAGTTTCAGCAAGGATCAAGAAGAAAATATCCGTAAGATCAGCAAAAATATTGCAGAGACTGAGCTGGAAACCAGGAACCAGATTTAATGAATAGACAGAGGTGGTTGAACCTCGTAGACGTAGTCAAACCTCTTCTCATTGGAAAGTTGCATTTAAAGACAGGATCAAATTTGCAGTTTGGAACCGGTTAGGTCTTTAATTTTACATCACAAACTCACTTACTTACACTTTTTCACTATTTCAGACATTTACATTTAAAAGCACTAGTTGGCTTTAGATAACTGTGCGTGTCTGTATATATATGTAGATAAACCATTTCTTTTGTGTCCCGGTTCAAGTTGCAGAGAAGATGGTAAACTCTGTCTAGGCGGTTTAACTTCATCTAAACAGTTCAACTTTGTCTTCGTGGTTCAACTTTGTCTATGCTGTTCAACTTTGTCCACTCGGTTCAACTTTGTCATTCATTAATTTTCACCATTCATTAAATCTGGTCCCAGGAGAATTAAGAAAGAAGCAGAGGAGAATATTAAATCTCTCAAGGCATCAATCCATGAGATAAGTTGTGAAAATAGTTCCAAGGCAGAAAGCTCAAACATAGATCTAGTTCAAAGAAATAATGAATTGAAAGAAATTACAACTATGCATGATAAATATATCCAAGGTATGACTTCAAACCTTGATAAAATATCACTGGAGAATAGAGATGCTGTCTCTAATCTACTGAATAATTTGGAAATGGCTAAACAAGAGAATTATGCCATTATAAAGAAACAAAACAAAGCAATTGAAGAGCTTAGAAAGTGTCAGGAAGCTGCATTTGAGGATTTCAAGCGTGAGCTGCAAAATGTGAAAGATCTGAATGATATTGTTCAAAGTGACGCTAAAGACAGTGAAGATGCTAGGCTGGAAAACTATAATCAGATCGCAACCAAACTTGAAATACAAGATAATGCCATCAAACGATTAGAGAAGCGTCTGGAAAGTGTTTCTAACACCGTAGTTGAGAAACACAATAGTATGAATAAAACCCACTCCCAGAGCATGTCTGATTTAAGAGAAGAATTTATTTCTCAAATGATCGTTAACAAGGAGGTCTCAAGCACTCTCCAGGAGGAGTTTAATGAAAAATTGGAAGAAATAAACCAATCCTTGTGTAAAAAAACAACATTAAATCAATCAAAAATTCAAGAAATCAAAGAGGCGTTGGATGGCATCAGTGTTAACTTAGAGCAGAAACTAGGAAATTACTTTTATTGATTTATTTCTATGTTAAAAAAATATCTAAAATCTTTGAAAAGTAAAATTTAAAGCCAAATGTAATTTAACACAGAATCCACTGCTGCTCAACTCAAGGATCAATTGAATCAAACAACACTGCAAGGCAATGGTAACTTATATTCATCATTTATATTTGTCTAAAGCAAAATTACATTAAACAATATAAAAGTTTACAAATTAATACTCTTTTCTTTGGATATCACAATTTTATAATTGACAGGGTTTGCCAAAAAACAGGTGCAATACAACTTTTTGCATGAGTATAGTTTAGTTAATCAGAGATGGAATTCATTAATAATAAGAATTGCAATAAGAATTTAATTGCCCCTTTCAAAAGGAACTTTTAAGTTAATTCCTAATAAAACCTAACCGTATAACATGTACAAATAGAAATATAAAAAAACGTCAATTAGAAATAAGATAATAATTCAAAGTAGCTCTTTTATATATTCCCAATGTACAATTTTTTAGGTGAAAGCACGCTAGACCTGGACATAAAAGACACGGTGAACCAGCTGTCCAAGCGTGTGTCTGCTATCAATGAAAAAATGTACGAGTTTGAACAAACCAAGGTGAACGTTCTAAACTTTAAAAAAAACAATTTTTAAACAATTTTTAAACAATTTTTGAACTATATTATTCTATGAAGAGGAACAATCTACTGTTCTATGGACTGATGGAGCAACCAACTGAAACTAATGAAGATCTTGTCACACAAATATCACAGGAAGGCATTCACCAATATATGGAGGAAAGGAATTGAGTCTTTGCTGCAAACTCAAATTTTCACACACTTACATCTTTGCAAACTGATGTTACTAAACTTTGATATTTTAAAGTTAGACTCATTGATCTGACAGAATTCATAGTTTGAAATATCTGGTCCATGGGTTTCAAAGATATAGGTATTCGAAAATTAGAGTTTGTGACAAAGACTCATTGCTTACAATTCTGTATTATTTTTACATCTAATTAGTGCAATGAGTACAAAATCATTTTTTTGACTCTTATTGGTAAACAAACATGATAGATTTTAACCAACAAGCTCGGGTTCCATAGAGATATATTCCTTACAAGTGTATCAAGGTAGGCAACATACTGATAGGGTTGGATCGTTTCCACTTTTTTGAAAAACATTCGTTTTGTGTTTCTAAACGACGAAGAAGAAACGAAAAACGAAACGGTCGTTTTAAAAGCGATCGTTTTTGAAAAATATAGTTTTTAAAATCAGAAAAACGAAGAACCTGTTTTTCTATTTTTATTCGTCGTTTCTTTAACGAAGGTAGGTCGTTTTTAAATTTTAACTATCGTTAACGACAACCCTATGTTAACGATCGTTAACGACCTTTTCTACATTTTTAGATAATAAAAAAGGTCAGAAAACATTTGCAATTCATTAATAGTCATAAAATTCAAAATTTGTTTGTCAGTTTTTATTTGTCTTCAAATTAAATGTTAGCCAAGACAACTTTATATTATTTTTATTATTATTTGAATGAGATATTGGTATACAAAATTGCAATATCATTTCAAACTTTAAAAGGGTTGAAACAGGGCCTGGAGTTGGAGGTGCCAGACCTGTATCAGTTACCTTCCAGACCTATAAGTAAGTGCGACTAAAACTTGAATTTATCAGAGAAAACAAATTATTCATAATTATATTTTTCAAGTAAATCTCCATGCATAGAGTCTAATGTCTCATTCACGACGGTACCCATAAAAGCTTTGTCTGATCAATGTTTCTCTTTTTGAATATTGATTATTTTTAATTATTGTATCTCTATACAATATGCGTGTTTCTGGTTGAAGAAACAATGAAGAACAAATTTTATAATCAAAGACTTTACAAGGTAGAAAACGACAATATCATGTCCATAATCTATCAAATGGTACCGTTGTGAATCAGGCATGTGTTTTAAAGGGACTGTAATTTCAAGTGACCGTCCATGCAAAGATTACAATGCGCGATTCACAACCATTAAGATAATTTGGAAAATTGATTTACTGTCCGGTGTGATCTACTGTCCAGTGTGATCTACTGTCCAGTGTGATCTACTGTCCAGTGTGATCTACTGTCCAGTGTGATCTACTGTCCAGTGTGATCTACTGTCCATTGTGATCTACTGTCCAGTGTGATCTACTGTCCAGTGTGATCTACTGTTCTACTGTCCAGTGTGATCTACTGTCCATTGTGATCTACTGTCCAGTGTGTGATCTACTGTCCAATGTGATGTACTGTCCAGTGTGATCTACTGTCCAGTGTGATCTACTGTACAGTGTGATCTACTGTCCACTGTGATCTACTGTCCAGTGTGCTTTACTGCACAGTTCAAAAGTTATAATTTGCAAAGGAATTGAGTCTTTGTAACAAACTCTGATTTTCTAATACATATATTTTTCCACCTGATGATGGTGTAAACCTTTGATATCTTAAACTTAGATTCTTTTATCTACCAGAATTCATAGTTTGAAATATCTAAGGTCTACAGCATTGAGTTGCACAGATATAGAAACCTAGAAAAACTACAATATCTTTCTTGTTATTGATCAGATAAAGGATTGACTAAGGAACCTTTAAAATCGGGCATCGTCATCTTTGCATGGAGGATCCCTTTAAGTAAAATGAAAAAATATTTATTCTTGAAAATTTCTATTATTTTTAAAAACAAACTTGTATTTTACAACTGACATTAGCTAAGCTATGTTTGTGAATTTTGAGCTGGATATATTAAACAGGGACCAAGTTATTCAGACGACTTTAAAAATTTGCCATAGAAAAATCAGATTTTTTTTTTCGAAGTTTGATACTTATATCATTAAAAAGTATTAAAGGTAAAATGTTTTTTTTACAAAAAATGCTGAATAAAAGTATTGAAATATTATTGCTCGACACCAGCAAAGAATTATCCAAAAGAAAAATCTAAAAATTATCTTAATTACAGGGTGTCCCAAAAAACATGGGAATTCAGTGACGAATTCGATATCGTCTTTGTTATGAATTAGCATTGTAATACCTAATTTCAAAAGCCATAATATTAATATGTCTGCTAGAGTTTATTTTATGAAAAGGGTAAAAGACTGTAAAGATGTGTCTGTAATGTCTCCGCAAGATGAACATTGAAGACGGACAAGTTTACTCTGTTTTTATACTGCAATTTTCTTGTTTTACTAATTGTACAACGGTATTCAGTCAAAACATAAACAAACAAAATGTAAACATAGCAGACGAAACTCTTACAGATGACGGCTTTCTCAGTTGGTATCACTATACTAAATCAAAGAATTATCTAAAAAGAAGATATCGAATTCGTCACTGAATTCCCATGTTTATTGGGACACCCTGTATCATTTTTCGCAAGAATGATACGTTTATTTAACACACACTTATTTTCTTATTTTATAAACCAGGAACTATTTTATATGTTTTTGTTCTCTATCAGAGAACGTGAAGCTGTGCTACGAAGATCAGCTGTTCTAAAGAACAGTAGCATTTACATTACAGAAGATCTCAGTAAAGCGGTCAGGGAAAGTCGTCTTAACCTAAACAGGTAAAGTTACACACTAAAAATTATTCTTGTTTCTTAAATTCATGGTTAAATATAGTCTCTTACATTTCATGGTTAACGCTGCACTGTAATTTGGAATTGACAATGTACAATATTGGACGTTTGCAGAGATATCAGTTAGAACAGTTAAAGTAAGAAAATCCTCTAAGGACTTTATGATTAAAAGAAAGCGCGAAGATGGCTTTTATATTATTTCCATAGATTTATAACTATACAGATAAAACACTAGATGTCGTCTTTTCAAGATTTAGGGGTTTTCGTTCACAACCCTGAGGCAGAAGTCCTGAGGAGTTACGCGCATCCCGCGTTGAATGACAAGACAAAGAGAGTATTTAAAAAAAATAATTTGGTAAATTTTGAATTTAGGTTCATGAGACAAGCAAAGAGAATTAATCCGCAAGCAACATGCTTCCTACAGTACGACAAGCTTTTAGTTGACAACAGGTCATATCAATACTGTACATTTAGCAACATGCTTCCTACAGTACGACAAGCTTTAAGTTCACAACAGGTCAGATCAATACTGTACATTTGGCAACATGCTTCCTACAGTACGACAAGCTTTTAGTTGACAACAGGTCAGATCAATACTGTACATTTGGCAACATGCTTCCTACAGTACGACAAGCTTTTAGTTGACAACAGGTCAGATCAATACTGTACATTTGGCAACATGCTTCCTACAGTACGACAAGCTTTTAGTTGACAACAGGTCAGATCAATACTGTACATTTTTTACATTATATGGTCATGGAAAGTACAACACAATGATTAATTAAAATAAAAGATAGGACACTATATCTCGTCTTTTTAAGATTTATATGTTTTTTGTTGAAGTTACACGTAGTCGGCGTATAACAGGCTCTCATAACACCTTCTACCTCAAGGTTAATGTGAATGAAACACACATAAATCTTGAAAGGACGACATAAAATGTCCTATTTGTTATTGTAATTAATCTACGGTACTACATATCAGAGCTGCGTGTGTAAAGTAATTTTGTCTCCTTTCCAAAGACATTAAACCTCAAATCTTTTGATGCATTTTAAAACATTTCTTGGTCATAGGTAAAATCATTTGTAGACACAAATTTCGACTGTTTGAGGAATATTTACTCGAAAAGTACCAAAAAATGTTTATATATATGTGTGTTTAGGGTCTACGTGTGGGATTCAAAACTGGAAGAAGTCATGGAAAAAACATCAGAGGGGTAACTAGGATTTATTAATAAAAATTATAATACAGAGTGTCCCACGAAATATGACAGTAGCAAGACGAATCTAAGGTCGTCTTTGATCCTTGAAATAATTTGAGAAATTTATTAGTAAACATAAATTACTAAATACCCCTAGTCTTGGCATTTCCTAAATGTGGTCTGCTTTTTGAGAGCGTTTAATATTACATGAGTTGTAAGGAATTTGGTGAGATCGTTTAGAAAGAACTAACTTTGCGTAAATTAATATTAAAGATTATAGAATAAATTCTATCTGATACTTTAAATTCAGTTTAGCATTTTTTATTGAATTTTAAATTATAGATTTATACGGTAATACCATGTAAAATGTAATACACAAGCCCTGATAATTTCTACTGTAGAAACATCCACGTGGCTGACTCTGTTATCTCTTCAGCTTCCAGTAGAAGGGGTTCGAGAACATTCCTTAAACCATCTTCTTCCAGGTAGATTCTAGAATATTCCTTAAACCATCTTCTTCCAGGTAGATTCTAGAACATTCCTTAAACCATAATTCTAGAATATTCCTTAAACCATCTTCTTCCAGGTAGATTCTAGAACTTTTCTTAAACCATCTTCTACTAGGTAGATTCTTGAACATTCCTCAAACCATCTTCTTCCAAGTAGATTCTTGAACATTCCTCAAACCATCTTCTTCCAAGTAGATTCTTGAACATTCCTTAAACCATCTTCTTCAAGGTAGATTCTAGAACATTCCTGAAACCATCTTCTTCCAGGTAGATTCTAGAATATTCCTTAAACCATCTTCTTCCAGGTAGATTTGAGAACATTCCTTAAACCATCTTCTTCCAGGTAGATTCTAGAACATTCCTTAAACAATCTTCTTAAGTTCTTCCAGGTAGATTCTAGAACATTCCTTTAACCATTTTCTTCCAGGTAGATTCTAGAACATTCCTTAAACATTATTCTTCCAGGTAGATTCTAGAATATTCCTTAAACCATCTTCTTCCAGGTAGATTCTAGAATATTCCTTAAACTATCTTCTTCCAGGTAGATTCTAGAACATTTCTTAAACCATCTTCTACTAGGTAGATTCTTGAACATTCATCAATCCATCTTCTTCCAGGTAGATTCTAGAACATTCCTTAAACCATCTTCTTCCAGGTAGATTCTAGAACATTCCATAAACCATCTTCTTCCAAGTAGATTCTTGAACATTCCTTAAACCATCTTCTTCCAGGTAGATTCTAGAATATTCATTAAACCATCTTCTTCCAAGTAGATTCTAGAACATTTCTTAAACCATCTTCTTCTAGGTAGATTCTAGAACATTTCTTAAACAATCTTTTTCCAGGTAGATTCTAGAACATTTCTTAAACTATCTTCTTTCAGGTAGATTATAGAATATTCATTAAACCATCTTCTTCCAAGTAGATTCTAGAACATTCCTTAAACCATCTTCTTCCAAGTAGATTCTAGAACATTCCTTAAACCATCTTCTTCCAAGTAGATTCTAGAATATTCCTTAAACCATCTTCTTCCAGGTAGATTCTAGAACATTCCTTAAACATCTTCTTCCAGGTAGATTCTAGCACATTCCTTAAACCATCTTCTTCCAGGTAGATTCTAGAACATTCCTTAAACCANAGGAATATAGATCATAAATACGTTCTTTAAACGTTCAGTGTACTGTACTGCCAGCCCTTGTACTTCAGGAATATAGATCATAAATACGTTCTTTAAACGTTCAGTGTACTGTACTGCCAGCCCTTGTACTTCAGGAATATAGATCATAAATACGTTCTTTAAACGTTCAGTGTACTGTACTGCCAGCCCTTGTACTTCAGGAATATAGATCATAAATACGTTCTTTAAACGTTTAGTGTACTGTACTGCCAGCCCTTGTACTCCAGGAATAAAGATCATAAATACGTTCTTTAAATGACTTTGAATTGTTGTTGTAACAACAAGGTATCTGATAATTGCAGAAGGACATGCAAGATTCACAATGATACTCTATAGGTTTTGATCTCATCAATAAAGTGGAAGATATCGTCGTATCTCTAAACTACAAATTTCTATTCTTCATTGTTTCTAAACAGGAATGAAATAGTCACTTTAAAAGAGAATGCCCAGTTAAAAATACCTAATTTTTAGTTTGAAAAACTAGGGTATCCCACTCATCTATGCATCAGATAAAGCTTTACAGGTACCCTAGTCAATCGAACATGCTACAAAATTAAAATTAGATAATGATATTATGAAAGACGACATTTATGATCTACTTTGAAACAGGGTAAAAAGAAAAGACCTTGGGAGGACGCTCTTAGCAAACCATTCCGTTTGTAAACACCAGCACAGTTGAAACAATGATCAAACTGTTGGCTGAAATATTAGTAAACAAATAATGAGCAATAATCTCAAGCACGCTTTTTTATAGGGTGTCTCAGAATTAAATTGTAAATAATGAGAATTCCCCAAAACGTCTAAATTCTCCTATTTTGTTCCTTGCTATTTGGATGTCATTTTAGTCTCAGAAGTTAAAATTCAAAATGCAAAATTTGAAGTTGACATTCAACATTTTACTTTAACTTTTGAGGTTATATAGATATATCCAATCGGTTATTCTTAGAAAAAAACTCAAAACATTGATTGAACAGATTAATATTATTTAATTCTAATATATTTTCCATATCATTACAAAAAAACTTATTGTTTAAATACCATGCAATGATGCAGTTATGCTATTGTGCTTAATATCATATTGTGTGATTACAATTTTTAAAAAGTTCCGAGATAAGAATAAAATCGTTTTAAATTTATTAAATTAAATTTTAATTCATTTGATAAATGGGTAATTAATGTAAAAATAGAAATTAATACATATTAAAATAACAAAATGTAGTCTAATGACTTAGTCTAAGAATATTTAATATGAAAAAAACACAATATTTAACAATGATGACAAAATCCAAGTTAAAATGAATATTATTTTTTTTACTACACCTCTATCCTTACACTCTAAACTTTAACAATTTAACTATACATTAGAGTTCTTTTTAATTATAATGTAACTGCAGTTAATTCTCAATATTCCCTTTTTTTCATTTATTGTTGTAAGCAAACATTGTGGTTAAAATTCAATGTTAAATTTCTCGACATAAATTATACAGGGATACCAAAAAATGAAAAATCTTTAATGACGACCTTAAACTCAGGTTAGTTTTCTTATACATATTTTTTAATATTATGCAAAACGATTTGGCGAAGTAAGAAATTAGTCTGCAGTTGCAGGGTATCAGCAATGTAAGGAAAAAGACTAAAATAGTTTCCCTACAGTCGTCTCTGAAGTTTAATCCTGTATGTATTGTATATATGTAATGAGCAATGAAACAATATTTGTATAAATTCATGAAGAAAAATTTAGTAATGATATGATTTAATCTCAATTATCTAACTGAAATATCAACTATGTTCAATGAACATTTTCATTGTTTATGATTTTATGAAACTATTGTGTACGTTGTCATTCTTACTCACTTCATAGTGAATTATATTATGAACGTGTTATAAGCTATAAAGTTTTGATTAGTTTCCAGAATTTTTCCAAAAAATTGTGGATATTTCCAAAATATTTTTTAAAATTTAAATGGAAAAATTGAAAATTAGCTTTTTATATTAAAAGCTTTTTTCATCTAAAAATAGCCATTGCAATAAGACAAGTACACAAACGTTTCATAAATTATCTATAATCACTATTATTTTGTCACAAAGTACTGTAAAGTTTTTGGAATAAAATTTTCACTTTTTCTCGAAGATTCTCGTCTTTTTAGATTATATTTTATCCCTCGCTTAAGCTCCAGACTACTTTAAATCTAAAAAGACTTAAACCTTCTCGATAAAAAGAAAATTAACACTGCGGACCATAATAATAGTGTTAAATAGTTGACATGATTTAATTGACTATTTGTATGAAAAAAATAGCATGATTGTCTATTTACATTTAAGCAATGTTGTAATTATTAACCAGTTTTAGATGCATATAATTTGTTATTGTAAATGGGTATTATTAAGTGTGAACAATATTTTGGCTACAATTTTTACTTTTTTGCTTGGAAACAAACTAAATAAAGTAAAAATTCCAGCAAAACTATATTATACATAACATATATATGTAGCTATAATTATTCAATTTTACTCAACTTATTTAATAGCAGGTCAATAAAGCTATTTTATCGCCCTACTACGGGAAATATTAGATGTAATAAATTCTCTCAAAAATTGAATAAAGACGTGAATATACTTTATTTATCACATTTTTTATAATTTCAAATAATCGCCTATTTATGAGATTAAATGATGCTTTTTTTCCTTGACTAGTTTTTTGTAAGACCTTTGTCCCTTCTTCTGTTTGTTTTGGTTTGAAGTGTACTGCAGGCTTGACAGGTTTGGGGGGGAACAACTGGTTTACTCTATTCCATTGATCCCTTCCCGGGAGATCTTGGAATTTTCGTGGATTTTGGGAAATCAATGTTCGGAGATTCTGTACCTGGGGTCTGAGGTTTAAGCTTCTTGTTGATTAGAATAGGTTTAAGATTAGATCTGGAGATGGATGAAGGATCGGTTGGGAGCGACGGAGGTTTACAAGTTTCAGGTTCAAGATCAGTTTCTGGGTTAGGTTTATAACCCCCAGGTTCAGGTTTGCTCCAATCTATATTTTCTTCATCGGTCGTATTAGAACGAGAACCGTAAAAAATCTTAGAGAATTAAGTGTCTAAAGGTAGCCATTTTCTTTTGAAGACCTTTTTAATAGGAAATACATCTTAATCAAACAAGACAAAACCAAAGGTAAAAGGAAAAAAGCACGTAAGTTTAATATCATCTGTATAGAAAAGCCAAGACTGTTAGATCTTTATTTTGCTTGAATTATAATCATAGATAGCTTCCCTGAAAGGTTACAATAATAAAAAAAATTAGAAGCAAATTAACTTCATTAAAAAAGTCATTTTATAAAAAGAAAAAAAATGATTTTTTATGAGATATTCCAACATTTAGTTCTAAAGAATTTTTACAAAAGCTTGAATTTCTTTCTCTAGGAAGACACGAGTTTCTTCCACTTTCTTTACATTCATGAGAATCTGAAATATTTTGTTTTCTTGTCCAGGACTTTCTCTTCGTCCTTGTCCTTTTAAGCCTTGTCCTTATCCTGGTCTTTTTGCTTATCTTTATTCTTGTGCTTATCTTGGTTCTTGTCCTTATCTTGGTCCTTGACTTTCTCTTGGTCCTTGTCCTTGTCTTGGTTCTTTTCCTTTTATTAGTTTTTGTCTTTATCTTGGTCCATGTCCTTATCTTGGTTCTTATCCTTATCTTGGTTCTTATCCTTATCTAGGTTCTTATCCTTATCTTGGTTCTTATCCTTATCTTGGTTCTTGTCTTTATCTTGGTTCTTGTATTTATCTTGGTTCTTGTCTTTATCTTGGTTCTTGTCCTTATCTTGGTTCTTGTCCTTATCTTGGTTCTTATCTTTATCTTGGTTCTTGCTTTACTCTTTGTTCTTGTCTTTATCTTGGTTCTTGTCTTTATCTTGGTTCTTGTCCTTATCTTGGTTCTTGTCCTTATCTTGGTTGTTGTCTTTATCTTGGTTCTTGTCCTTATCTTGGTTGTTGTATTTATCTTGGTTCTTGTCTTTATTATGGTTCTTGTCCTTATTTTGGTTCTTGTCCTTTTCTTGTTACTTGTCCTTATCTTGATTATTGTCTTTATCTTTGTTCTTGTCCTTATCTTGGTTCTTGTCCTTATCTTGGTTCTTGTCCTTATCTTGGTTCTTGTCCTTATCTTGGCTCTTAACCTTATCTTGGCTCTTAACCTTATCTTGGTTCTTGTCCTCATATTTTTCCTTGTTTTTATCTTGGTTCTTGTCCTAATCTTAGCTCGTTATTTTTGTTATTGTTATTTTTTTGGTCCAATTGTCCTTATCTTGGTCCTTGTCCTTATCTTGGTCCTTGACCTTATCTTGGTCCTTGTCCTTATCTTGGTCCTTGTCCTTATCTTTGTTCTTATCTTGGTCTTTCTCATTATCTTGGTTCTTGTCCTTATCTTAGTTTTTGTCCTTATCTTGGTTCTTGTCATTTTCTTGGTTCTTGTCCTAATCTTGATTCTTGTCCTATCTTGGTTCATCTTGGCCCTTTCCCTAATCTTGGTTCTTGTCCTAATCTTGGTTCTTGTCCTAATCTTGGTTCTTGTCCTATCTTGGTTCTTGTCCTTATCTTGGTCCTTTCCCTAATCTTGGTTCTTGTCCTCATCTTGGTTCTTTTCATTATCTTGGTCTTTGTCCTTGTCCTTGTCTTGGTTCTTTTCCTTATCTTATTTTTGTCTTTATCTTTCTCCCTGAACTTATCTTAGTTCTTGTCCTTATCTTGGTTCTTGTCTTGCTTCTTGTCCTTATCTTGGTTCTTATCTTTATCTTGGTCCTTGTCCTTATCTTGGTTCTTGACCTTATCTTGGTTCTTGTCCTTATCTTGGTTCTTGTCCTTATCTTGGTTCTTGTCTTTATCATGGTCTTAAGTTCTTATCTTGGTTCTTATCTTTATCTTGGTTATTGCTTTTATCTTGGTTCTTGTCCTTATCTTGGTTCGTGTCTTTATCATGGTCTTAAGTTCTTATATTGGTTCTTGTCTTTATCATGGTCTTAAGTTCTTATCTTGGTTCTTGCCTTTATCTTGGTCCTGGTCCTTTTCTTGGTCCTTGTCTTTATCTTGGTCCTTGTCATTATCTTGGTCCTTGTCCTTATCTTGGTAGTTGTCTTTTTCTTGGTCCTAGTTCTTATCTTGGTCCTTGTCATTTTCTTGGTCCTTGTATTTATCTTGGTCCTTGTCCTTATCTTGGTAGTTATCTTTATCTTGGTCCTAGTTCTTATCTTGGTCCTTGTCATTTTCTTGGTCCTTGTATTTATCTTGATCCTTGTCCATATCTTGTTAGTTGTCTTTATCTTAGTTCTTGTATTTTTCTTGGTCCTAGTTCTTATCTTGGTCCTTGTCATTATCTTGGCCTTTGTCTTTATCTAGGTTCTTGTCTTAATATTGAATCTTTTCCTTATCTTGTCTAGTAAATACCGTACTCGTAAAACTGCTTTCAGAACTGTATCAATCCAGGTGCAACTCGTCAGCTATCAATGTTAATAGGGACACAGCACTTAAGTGAGCAATGCCAAACCAATGGATACGATATTACCAGGTCAATGTCAAAACGGAAAGAAGCTCTTAAGCTATCAATGCCAAACCAATGGACACAATCTTATCAGCAATCAATGTCAACATGAACACAAGCTTAGCTATCAATATAAAAACTGACACAAGTTCTGCAGTGATCAATGGCAAACCAATGGACACAATATTATCAGCTATTTTTGTTTTTAAAATATGATAGATTCCGGCTACTGTGAAAAACCCTGGCGAGACATTTGTCCGATAGTTGCAGAACGCCTATTGTCCTATTGTTGCATTGCGCCGTTAGTCTTATACAGGGTGTCCCACGGAACATGACAATAGGAAGACGACTTGAAGGTCGTCTTTGATATTTGAATTTATTTGTGACCTTTAGTCTTCTATCTACTTTAACATGTAGGATTCCTGAAACAATTATCACATAATTCTCCTAGCCCTGGCATTTCCAAAAAGTGGTCTGCGTTTTTTGTGCTTTCAATATTACCGGAGATATAAAGAGTTTGGTTCAGATTTCAATTTTGTTAAATAAAAGCAAAATTGTCGAAATCTGAACGAAATTCTTCATATCTCGGGCAATATTGAAAGCACAAAAAAGGCAGACCACATTTTGGAAATGGCAGGACAAGGGAAATTTTGTGATTATTATCTCTAGAAATTTACTTCTAAAATTAGGTTGACAAATAAACACAGCAAATTATATCAAAAATCAAGACGACATTTAAGTCGTCCTGCATACTGTCATGTTTCGTTGGACACTCTGTAGTTGCAGTACGCCGTTTGTCCAATTGTTGCATTACGTCGTTTGTCCGAGAGTTGCAGAACGCCGCCATTTTTCTGAAGGGGACATTTGTCCGACTGTAAACATTAATATTTATATCTAACATAATTTTTTATTTTTATCTTTTATTCTTTCCTTTTTTCCTTAAGCTATTGAAGATGCCTTACAAGTTCACTGTTTAGTTTTAGAAAAGCAACATTCATTTTTTTCTATTTAATCCCCTCTCTAAACTTCCCTCATCTCCTTTCATCTTAATCTATTTTTATGGAAGACGGCACTCATACACCTATTTTTGGTTTTCTTTCTATATTTTCCTTCGCTTTCCATCTTATTCAGTTTTTTATAAGACGACATTAATAAGCCTCTTTTCGGTTTCTAATTTTTATCCTTTGCTTTCATCAATTATTATGTAGAAGCCAACATTGTGTCCTCTCCTGGGTTTTTTCCCTTTAACCTTGTCTTTTAGCCCTTTCTTTTCATCTTATTCTGTTGTGGAAAAGACGACATTGATAAACCTCTCTTGGTTTTCTATCTTTTATCATTTCTGTTTATTCTATTGTTTGTATTCTAATTTGATTTAACCCTATCCCTGCTGGGGTACTTGAAAACCAGGATATGCTGGGGGGGGGGGCAATTTGACCCCCCCCTCTAAATACCATGTTTTATGTCCAAATATGACAAATGATACATCATTAGAAAGCTCTTGTGCTCTACTTTTAGAATCTGCAAAAAAAATTGCAAATTTGCAAAAATTGAATTTTTTATCGCAAAATCCAGTTATATAGTAAAAATGTTTGCAAAAAAAATTTGTCCAAAAAATGAAAAATTATACATTTTTGAAAAGCCCTTGACCATGCCATTTCAAATATGCAAAAATTTTTGTAAAATTTTAAATAACCTGATTTTTAATCAAGAAAAACTAAAAATGTGCAAATTTCCTTAGACCGGTTGTTTGCAAAAAAATTGCATTTGTTTCGCAAAACTTGTGCAATCCGTTTCCTTATGTCATAGGCTTTCCAAAAAGCTAAATTTTATCAAAATCTGACAAGTGAAAGTGGGTCAAAACAAAGATTTAGTTTGTTACAGGCAAAAGCAGTCATTCTGGCAGTGTGCCTGAGGACTCAGGCAGTTTGTATTAAAGCCCGGTTTTAGGCCTAAAGGGAGGGCTTTGGGTATGTAAGAAAAGTCAGAAAATTTCAACAGCCTCAGACCAATACTTTTTGAGTTATGTAAAAAAAACTATAGGGGGGGGGGGTCAAATTGACCCCCCCCCCTATAGTTTTTTTATTGTCTGTCTTTTGATAATTCATTAACGTCTATGTTTAGTAAATACTATTTGTCTATGTTCAGTTTATGTGTTTTTGTCTGTGTTTTTGTGTGTCTGTATTTAGTTTGTAACTGTTTGTCTGAGTTTTTGTTTGTCTATATTCAGTTAGTCAATGTTTTTCTGTGTTTTTGTTTGTCTATATTCAGTTTGTCAATGTTTGGGTGTGTTTTTGTTCGTCTATATTCAGTTTGTCAATGTTTGTTTGTGTTTTTGTTTGTCTATATTCAGATTGTCAATATTTGGGTGTGTTTTTGTTTGTCTATATTCAGTTTGTCAATGTTTGTCTGTGTTTTTGTTTGTCTATATTCATTTTGTCAATGTTTGGGTGTGTTTTTGTTTGTCTTTATTCAGTTTGTCAATGTTTTTCTGTGTTTTAGTGTGTCTATATTCAGTTTGTCAATGTTTGTCTGTGTTTTTGCTTGTCTGTTTTTGGTTTGAGGTAAATGCATTTATAAACATTAACGCGCAATATGGGGAACTTTCTTTTTCGCGTCAAGTTTAATTTATTTATCAAAATACTTTTAACAAACGTAAAAAAGTATACAATCAACTCCAATAAATGATGGGTTGCCCTGTACGGTTTCATTTTAATATTAAAGGCAAATGGACTCGTATATAGTGACAAAATAGCCGATGGCAAAAACTTAATGACGACCTGAATCCCTTTATGATACGGTTTTATTGTTTAAAATTACATGATTAGGTGTATAATAGTGAAAATATAATCAATCACAATTAATTAATCTGTGATTTTCAATCACCAAGACTAATTTAATCAATTCAAACACAAATCAGCGAGAAAAAAGAATACATAATTTCCCGTAGTGTTTCTGCTGTAATTTTGTAAAAAATTTTATAAGACTATTGTGTACTTTATCATTCTTCCTCACTTCATCGTGAATTTCATAATAAACGTGCTATAAAGTAATAATCTTAATAAAAGTTTTGATTGGAATTCCCGGATTTTCTCCAAAAAAATAGGATATTTCCAAAATATTTTTTTCAATTGAAATGAAAAAAAAGTTGAAATCATCTTTATAGTTTTACTCCTGATTTGTTTCAAAGCTTATTTGATCTAGAAATAGCCATTGAAATAAGAAAAGTACACAAACGTTACATAAAATTACCTATAACACTATTATTTTGGCACGACGAGCTAAAGTTTTTGGACTTAAATTTTCTCTATATCTCGAAGGTTCTCGCCTTTTTAGATTTATTTTGTCCCTTGCTAAGGCTCGGGACAAAATAAATCTAAAAAGGCTTAAAACTTCTCGATAAAGAGAAGATTTTATGTCCAAAAACTTAATAACACTGCGAACCAAAATAGCAGTGTTATAAATAGTTAAAAAGATTGTTTCTTAGTTGATTTAAAAGACTAAATCAGTTCCAATAAACTTATGATTAAATCCAAGAGTTTCTTAAACATTAAAACCGTGTTTTGAGATCTTATTGATGTTTACAATAAACAAAAAACCAAGAATTCTAAAAAATCTAAATAAAAACTACGTTTGTTAAAATTCACAAAACCCCTATTAAGCCTCCTTTTTCTTTTAACCCTGATTGCGTAGCAGTTTTGATATTACTCCAATACTTACGCAAATTCGCGCATTTTCTCGTCGTTGAAATCTCCGACTGCGCGGTTCGCAGTTATTTCAGGATATATTCTTTAGTTCTAATCTGTGCATGGTGTATGATATACGTAAAGAAAACACATCAGACTAAAATACTTAAATTTGATTGGACTCAAGACTTCAGACTTAAGGGATTCTACATTTAAAGAATGTTATGTCTAATTCACAACGGTACCCTATAAATCTATATCTTTAGTAACAATAAGAAAGATATCTTTATTTTTCTATCTGAGAAGTGCAGTTACATGAATAATTCCATGCATTATATGATTATTTCTGAATCAAGTCACTTTTATAGAGAAGCCAATTGATAATAATCAGTTTTTAGTTAGACAAAAAAGGATATCTCATTCATTCTTGATGAACATTGAAAGGAACATTTGTTAATTTATAAATATATTTATTTAGTCCCTTAAAGATTGAAATCTAGAATGTTTTCAAAAGCGAGGTATCAATCTAAATTTGGGCGTGATCGTTTCAGACATTTTGACGTTGGATACAAACGGACAAACAGACACCCAGACAAGCAAAGATGTTAAATGTTCTATTTCCACAATTTTTAGAAAATCCACAAGTAAAAACAGGAAAATCTTCGAAACTTTTTAGTTTTGACATAATGATGTACGATTAAAAGATGGTTGTATGGAAAGCAACATTTCAAGGCATAAAATTATAACTATATATCAATAAGCAAGTAAAAGTATCAATATTTAAGAATCAATGAATACCAAATATTTCTCATGACTCGGCGTGAAAACAATGATAGGTTTTTGTTTAAAGTTTTATTATCTATTTTCTCCAAGGTATAATAATGGTACAGTTTTTATATATACTGAGAACTAGCTTTATTTTACATAATTAGCACCCTTCTTTAAATTCAAATGATTGATATCTGTTTTTTACAATTCTACCGATCGAAAGGGTCTTTCCACGAAACTTTAAGTGACAAATTAAAGAGTTCCATATGAACTTTTAAAAAGAAAAAAAAACAATTTAAATTTATTAGTTTTCACCATGAAAAGAAAACCTGTACAACCCCATGGTTCTCATATTTTGCAGGATCATATGTATGTTAGACCCAAGGAGTCTGCATTGCACTGTTTCCGAAAAAGCCAGAGATACTAAACATACAGTTTGGTGACTTTTGTGGTAAAGTCTAATTCATTTTTTTTTGTAAGTACCTTAAAACTCCCTTTTTATTAGATCTTAAATCAAAAAATGACAAACACATTTCACAATTCACAACGAAAATTATTTTAAAACAAATTGTTATTAAAGGTTTAACCCCCCCCCCCCTCCACCTTGCATTACGATGGTTTACGTATTATCAAGTGTGAACTGCGTGTGAGGGAAATTTGTCGAGGAAAAAACCAAACATTTGTTTTTTTTACCAATTGTGGTATTATTTCATGTAATATTACCCATCCTTGCCAATTTTACCAACGTATTCATCTTTTATAAACAATCAATCAATCAAAGGTTTACACAATTGCATAATTTTATAACATTTGGACTTATATTGTAAATACTAATTTGTCCATGTTATGTCCATAACGCATCAGTCTTTATACAATCAACTCCAATAAATGATGGGTTGCCCTGTACGGTTTCATTTTAATATTAAAGGCAAATGAACTCATATATAGTGACAAAATAGCCGATGGCAAAAACTTAATGACGACCTGAATCCCTTTATGATACGGTTTTATTGTTTAAAATTACATGATTAGGTGTATAATAGTGAAAATATAATCAATCACAATTAATTAATCTGTGATTTTCAATCACCAAGACTAATTTAATCAATTCAAACACAAATCAGCGAGAAAAAAGAATACATAATTTCCCGTAGTGTTTCTGCTGTAATTTTGTAAAAAATTTTATAAGACTATTGTGTACTTTATCATTCTTCCTCACTTCATCGTGAATTTCATAATAAACGTGCTATAAAGTAATAATCTTAATAAAAGTTTTGATTGGAATTCCCGGATTTTCTCCAAAAAAATAGGATATTTCCAAAATATTTTTTTCAATTGAAATGAAAAAAAAGTTGAAATCATCTTTATAGTTTTACTCCTGATTTGTNGGATAAAGTAAGGGGAGGGGGATAAAGTAAATGAGTTAAGGGAGGGGATAAAAGGATAAAGTGAGGGAGGGGGATAAAGTAAATGAGGTAAGGTAGGGGATAAAAGGATAAAGTAAGGGGAGGGGGATAAAGTAAATGAGTTAAGGGAGGGGATAAAAGGATAAAGTAAGGGGAGGGGGATAAAGTAAATGAGGTAAGGGAGGGGATAAAAGGATAAAGTAAGGGGAGGGGGATAAAGTAAATGAGGTAAGGTAGGGGATAAAAGGATAAAGTAAGGGGAGGGGGATAAAGTAAATGAGGTAAGGGAGGAGATTAGGGGATAAAGTGAGGGGAGGGAGATAAAGTAAATGAGTTGAGGGAGGGGATAAAAGGATAAGAAATTTTGTATCATTGTCTGAATTAACCAGATTAATTTATGAAGGGTCATAAATTTAGTTTTTGTCTATGTCTAGGAAATGGAGTTTGTAACGAAAGAAAGTTAAACTAAGCAGGCAGCAGTACACATGTTAAACTAAGCAGGGAGCAGTACACATGTTTATTTTTTATTTTTTATTTGTAAAATTGTTTTGATTATTTATAGAGACCTTTCAATGCCTTTCAAAAAACTGTCGAATTTCAATTGAGACCCTTGATACAAAATTCATTGGACCGATGCGTAAAATAATTTTTAATGTCAGTTTCAATTATATTTTCTCTTTAAAAGTGACTTGAATGTCGATTTTTGCAGCAGGGTCTCTTTTCATAGAAAAACTAAAATATCTAGTTTCACCCCAATTGTCACTCAAAAAAAGGTTGAAAGGTGCAGTTGTTATTTTTTATGTTTTGGATACTGATTGCACATGTTTTTGTTTTCCACTCTCTCTCTTTCTGTATTTAATATATATTAAATGGGATCGTGAACTTTAATATATCAATGGGATCATGAACTTCAATATATAAATGGGATCATGAACTTTAATAATCAATGTGATCATGAAGATTTAATATATCAATGAGATCATGAAGATTAATATATCAATGGGATCATGAAGATTAATATATCAATGGGATCATGAAGATTAATATATCAATGGGATCATGAACTTTAATATATCAATGGGGTCATGAAGATTAATATATCAATGGGATCATGAAGATTAATATATCAATGGGATCATGAACTTTAATATATCAATGGGATCATGAAGATTAATATATCAATAGGATCACGAATTTTAATGTATTAACGGGACCATGAACTTTAATATATCAATGGGATCATGAACTCTAATATATCAATGGGACCACGAGCTTTAATATATCAATGTGATCATGAACTTTAACATATCAATGGGATCATGAACAATAATTTTAAATTTCTGTATTTAATATATCAATGGGATCATGAACGGTAATTCTAAATTTCTGTACTTAATTTAATATATCAATGGGATCATGAACGATACTTTTAAATAGATTTTGTGTTCGTTTCGGTTGATTTTAAAATGATTTTGCATAAAGGTGCAAATGTTCTATATGTATTATCTATATATTTCAGATATGACAGAATGTCTCAGAAATGATTGATTTAAAACAGATATGATTTATGCTAGCAATTTCTCAGAATTGTTAAAGCGCAAGAAAAGCACACAAACAGGCCGGAAAATTAGGTATTATAGACAATTAAAACTTTTTTTACAAATTTTTTGTTTACGAGTTCGTTGCGAGCCTAGTTTTGATGTAATACTCAATAGAGCAAGGTAAACCAAAAACTGGACCACAGAACTTGGTAATTCTCTGGTTTCTTAATTATTCATTCTCCCTTCATACAAGGTTTATACATACAGTTCAACCATTGTTTTTTAAACCCTGTAATACGCAGGCAGAAGCTTAGTTTCCACATAAAGATGCATTTTAATATATAATCTCTACAATACATTCTTAAATGCACATTTAAGCATGCATAATCAGTACACTGCACAACGTATTAGGCATTTCGTATAGTTAAATGCGTGTTATCGGTAAAAAAAATATCAAAATTTCTTTCTTTCAGAAATATAAACATAATAGTAATCTAATTTAGTATTCATTATTATAATTTATAAGCTTATTATTTCTCTCTCTGCAATAATTATTTTTCCATAAATCGAACACAAAGCTTACGTCTGTTAACAAAAAGGTCAGATTTGGTTTCACATCTATAGTAACATAAAATCTATTTTAACTTTTTGTTACAAAGTGCAGAACTTTTATATCTAAAAAGGTTTTTTATCTATCTGACATCGTAGACTATAAGACAGAAGGACAAGAACTGCAACGAAATTGTGCCCTCGTAGCTCCTTAGGTTTTGAATTTATGTACATGTCTAAAATGAACAAATTTTCCCGGTTACATATTAGAAATTTATGATATGCTTGTTCTTTGAAACAGCTCTTCAATTAGAGAAGTTATGACTGAAAATCTTTAAAGTTCATACTTTACGCGCAATTTATTTTAGTTTAACGTGCAATTTACTTTAATTTAACGTGCAATTTACTTTAGTTTAACGTGCAATTTACTTCAGTTTAACGTGCAATTAACTTTAGCTTTGCGTGAAATTTACTTTAGGTTAACGTGCACAATCAGTACAAATACAATGTATACTTAATTCATCCATATTTTATCACAATTCATATTGAAATTTATTTAACAATTTGAATTCAAGAGTTTGCTTTTTGGATATCATTCAAAAGTGTTGACACCAGAGAATTTAATTTATAGAAATCCTTATTAAATATTTAAAAAAAAAAATTTAAGACTGCAGGACAACAGAGCTGGGAACTTTAGAATGGTGAATATCAGGATTAAGGTTTAATCGCCTCTTTTTGCTAATTTCGAGATTAACATAATCTCGAGATTATGTTAATCTTGAGATTAATTGTTTAGATCAACAAGTTTGATAATAGGAACCCCAGATTTTTCTTCACCGATTAATTTACAAAAAGGCCGACAACAAATTCTTTATTTGCTAGAAATTGCGGAGGTCTCTCACTGGATAGAATTTATTTTCAAGGTTGTCATTGGTCAATACAGTTTACGGATATCCAAAGAGAGAGAAAAAGAGTGGATTACGGACTAAAATTAAAAGTTTCCACAGTAGATATTCGGATTAAGCAGTCTGGATTAAAGGTTAACCATGCTAAAGTTCCCAACTCAGAACCATTATAGGAATGCAAGCTTAATGTGTTATTTTTTTACGTGTATTTGCTGCAAGATATTTATAGTTCTACTATGAATAACTAGGTATTGTTTTAAAATTATTTCTTCATTTTTTGCAAGAATTAAAAAAGTGGAGTTTTTAAAAGTGCCATAGACAATTCACAATGATAAAAAATTACTAAAATAGTGCCATAAACAACTCACCATGTTCCACTTCAAACTCTATTTTGCAAGTAAGATTAAAAACTAAGTTTTTAATTTTTCTATCATAACTCCTCTTCTTAAAGTAATAGTGGGAAAAGCAAAAATGTTTTAGATTTCTAGTGTATAACCGAATAAATCTTCGGTAATAAAACTTATGCGCAAAATAACAAGTTTAGAAGCTGCAATGTCACAAAGTTACACCAGTAATGTCGCATGTATTTTACCTTATTCTCATGTTCATTGTCTAAGTCAAAATGTTCCCTACAGACACATAGATCCAGGCTGCTATGACAAGTTTTTTAAAGGGACAGGCCGTCTCAAATGAATCTTAATGAATTTGTGCACAACACTGCATACTCAGTTCAACTACCTTACATAGCCAGTCAGTCCCTTTAGGACTGGGTTAATTTAAAAGTGTCCCAACGCCTTGTATTTTGTTTCTACCACACTAACTCGCTTATACTTTTATGCAGCCCTAAATATATACATTTAAGAACTTTAAAGCACTTGTTTTTGTAGCTTTAGTTTTAGAGAAGTAATTGGCGGGAGAGCTTGCAACCTTTGGATCACAGTGGAGAACTTCAGAATAATGCCTAAACCTATTGCTGTTTCTTATCTATATTTTCTTCAGCCTTGACGGGCAAAAAAATGGCCGATATTTATCCAATGAAAATTTTAACTTTAATTTTTTTTTTCAGGATGAATGATTGTTCATCCAAGAGGTGAAATGGGTTGTTGGCTTGACAATGGATGACTGCAGGGTATGGCAATTTTATCTCAATTTAGAAAGAAAATAATTATATTTTTCGAATCTCATATTTTTCAGATTTTTCAAGTCAACTGGCATATTGTGCTTCTTGCTTGTATCCTTGAATTTAGGAAAAATATAAAAATAAATAATTTTTTCACAAGTAAAGAATATGTCCTTGACCGATTTGTATCAAATTTTTTAGGGAAACATTTTAAGTTGAGTGGATCTACTTTTCTTCCCAGCAAAGCTGGGTACCCAATATAATATAGAAATGTTTCTGTAAACCAAGGGAACGTTTCTCTGCCACAAACTCTGATTTTCTAATCCCTATATCTTTGCAGTGCAGCCCAATGGAGACACAAATTCTAAGTTTGAAATATCAAAGGTTTACACCATCAAATATAAAGGGATTAAAAAGAAACTCAACTACTCTCCACGAACTTAAATTTTCTAATCCTTTTATCTTTTTCAAACATAACGGGATTTACAGATTGAGACAGGTTTTTAGTTCCTTTTTATGCATTTACACAAATTTATTTTGAAAATTTTAGTTTGGTGTCCAGTTTTGGAACTTGCCCAACCCAAGGTATTAACTTTAGATCCGTAAGATCTTTTTTCATCCAAATGTATATCTCAACATTTGCTCAGTGAGTGGTTTATGATTATAAGATAGAGTTGTTTAAAAAAATTACATGAAGTGATTGTTTTCAAGAGGTTTAGAAAATATTTAAAATAATTTAGAAAATATTTTTAAAAATTTAGAAAATATTTAAAAAAATTTAGAAAATATTTAAAAAATTTCAAACGTTAAAGTCGATCTCAAAATCTGTTATTCACAACATCGAAGATTACAGTTCCTTATAGGTTCAATAAAAATGTTGGAGAGCTTAAAAAAAAGGTAATTTCCCTTGGGCGATTTCCCAAGTGACAATTTTCCAAGTGGCAACTTCCCAAAGGTTAGGTTAGGCCCTCAGAGGCGCCGCAGGCTGCAATGGGGATGAGTGCTGCGTCTAGGATGGGCTAAGGGACCAAGTGCCGCGGTTAGAACAGGCTGTGGGCCGAGCACTGCAGCTAGGACAGACTTGGAAGTTGCCGCTTGGGATATTGCAGATTTGGGAAGTTGCCACTTGGGAAAAAAACCTTGGGAAATTGCAACTTGGGAAAAATTCTTTGGGAAAGTACATTTTGATAAAATTTCTATTAACCTGGCCCCCTAAACCTACAAAAATTACACTTTCTTCATAGTAGTAATTCTTTACTGCCACATGGACTGCCACCCCACCCCCTGAAACCACCCTTGCAAGTACAACTGTTATAGGACAGTCTTGTTCTGGACAAAATGATAATATTGTAGATGTCGTCTTCGGAGTTGAATCTGCTCAGGTAATATATTTTTAATTCATCTTCTTTCTTAGTTTGAATCCTTATATAACCATAAGATGATAAAACTGCTGATTTAACCGATCAGAGTTAGGAATTTTTAATGTTGGATTCTCATAATCTTAATCACTTGATCTCGATATTAAACGTGGGAACTTTTTATTAAAGGGGTAATTTTAGGTTATACATTTACACTGCAGATATTGAAATAAGATTGATTAATCTGCAGATTAACAAAAGGTCAAGATTAAGCATTAATCTTTATACCTAAAATACAAGAATTCCCAGCTGAGTCGATTTCCAGAATCTCACTTAAGGACCCTAGGTTTATTCCTGCTCAAAATTAAAACATTTTGCCTTTAAAATTGTTCACTAAATATTTTAATACCTCATTTAAGAAAAACTCTTGTAAGAGCTTAAATTGTTTCAAAGAAAAAAGAAAAAAAGCCTGGTTCTTATATTTACACATATTTGTCTTGTTTAGAAGAATTTGGCCGAATTGGACAGAATTCCATAAAAATGTGATTTTGATAAATCAAAAAAAGAAGAAATTTTTTTGCTTGTTTAATGTTATTGTATGAAGAGCTGATTCAAAAAAATTCTAGTACATTTAACTGTCGCATGTTGTAACTTGTACATATTCAGTTTGTGCACAGAGCCAGAAATTTAAAAGAGTATCGTTGAATGAAACTCCCGAGTTTCCATTTCGGGGTCTTAACATTTAAGTAGATTTTAATTTAAATAGATTCGAAAAAGCCTAATATGAAGAAACTAAATAATACAATAATTCATAGCAAAAATATTTTATCTACAAAACTGCCTAACCACATTCGTGAAACCCGGGTTTCAAAACTGGTTTTTATAACGATACCCTGTCTTAAGTTTTGGGCTCTGTACATATTGTTACTGTACAATTAAGGATTGTAACACTGAGTGTAAGGGTACTGCAGACTGTACAAACTTTACCTGGCACAGCCCAGCTGCTCCAGTTATGGGTTCCAGCTGCTTTCTTTTCTCCAGCTGTCAGCAAACAGCTGACTGCTACAGCTGTTTCAGGTTGGACCACCATTGATAATAGAAAATACTTTAAAAACATTATTTTCAATTCGATTGAAATGGTGTACGTTGAATAAAAATAACAATTAAGTTCATGGAGAAACGGGAAAAATTGAAATTTCCTGATTGCTTTCATATTTTTATTTCTTTTTTGTGTGTTTCAAGTTTTAACTGCAGTTTTCTTTTGGTTGATTTACTTAGAATTGAGGTGGAATAAACCTCAACTAGGTATTATAGAAAGTGCGCTTTGTGGTACTCTGGTTTTTAGACAAACCATGCAGTTTATAACTCGAGAGATAATTTAGTACAATTTAAAGTATAAAAAAGATGGAGTAAAAAAAACTTTATTCCATGACAAAAATTTTAAAATTTCCTATGAAAAGAGTTTATACTTAACAGTTTTTAAGAAAATGGAAATAACAAATTTTCATCTTTATTTAATAACGTATGCTGGAACAACGTTCGCCAAGGGAACCAAGGGTGCAAAAATCAAAAATTATAATTGATAAATTTTAATGTGATTTTTTTTGCAATATTGAATAAAAACAAAGCGACAAGATTAAAATATAATTAATTAATTTTGTTTAAGTGGATCCCGCGACTGTAAGTGCAGTAGCCATCTTGCTTGTGACGCTCATTGGACAGCATTCGTAGGATTCAGGTGAAACACATTTCCTCTTTTTCATCCTTTTCCAGGGATATCAAAGGATATCAAGGAATATCAAAGGGATATCAAAGGGATATCAAGGGATATCAAGGGATATCAAAGGTATATCAAAGGGATATCAAGGGATATCAAGGGATATCAAAGGGATATCAAGGGATATCAAAGGGATATCAAGGGATATCAAGGGATATCAAGGGATATCAAAGGGATATCAAGGGATATCAAACATGACAATGTATAAATCTGCATATGATATTAGCAAAGAACCCACAAGAAACATAAAGATATATCGTTCATCCTTGATTAAAAAAAGGTTTAAAGGGCACAACAGAAAAGACTGCATTGCATATAATTCGTTACATGGCTTTTAGACACAATCATGTAGCTTTTAACACAATCATGTAGCTTTTAGCACAATCATGTAGCTTTTAACACAATCATGTAGCTTTTAGCCACAATCATGTAGATTTTAGACACAATCATGTAGCTTTTAGACACAATCATGTAGCTTTTAGACACAATCATGTAGCTTTTAGACACATCATGTAGCTTTTAGATACAATGATGTAGCTTTTAGACACAATCATGACACAATCATGTAGCTTTTAGACACAATCATGTAGCTTTTAGACACAATCATGTAGCTTTTAGACACAATCATGTAGCTTTTAGACACAATCATGTAGCTTTTAGACACATCATGTAGCTTTTAGACACAATCATGTAGCTTTTAGACACAATCATGTAGCTTTATGCTCTACATTTTGTTTATTTTTAAACCTAACAACCTTTTAATCATTTTAAGTTTCCCTCGTCTATAAAATCCGATTCACAACAAAACCTTTTATCTCTCGGAAAATTGAGAAATTTAAATTTTAGTTTCTTTAAAAAAAGTGACATATGCGCATGATATAATACAGAGACAATGATAGAAATGTCAGAATTCACCACATTTCCAAATTGAAAAAGACACAAATTCAGAGTTACTCAGATTGACGTTTGAAGAGAACAATGTGAATCAGACATGAAGCTTTATATTTTTTCAATGTGCCACTTTTATATTGACTCTCTTTACTGGGAATGAGAGCGAAGTGATCCTCCATTCTATGCAAAGATGATAATGCTCGATTTACAACATATTAATTAGATATGCAATATGCATGATTTTGTTTATTTCTTCATTTGTGGTTTCATTTAAAAGCGACTGGACCATTTTTTTTGCTTTTTAAGAAAAATTGGAAAAATCTTCACAAGTAAACACTCTTAGAGTCAGAAAAAGGACCATATCTTTCACATTTTTGATCAGATCATGGTTCTAAGAGTACCGTTGTAAATCGTGCATTGTTTTCTTTGCATGGAGGGTCACTTAAACATTACGCTTACAGTCCCTTTAACAAAAATGTATATAGTGATGCTATCAGCTCAGAGGAAGCGTGTCAGGGGTTCTGTGCATCACGGCGACGATGCAATGTGTTCACCTGGTTTGATGAAACAGACATACGGTACAATTATTTAAAATTTTAAAGGAATGTATCTTATGCAATATAAAGCTTATTCTTTAAGTTTCTTAATCCAAAATAGTTCTTTTTTCTTTGGTTTAATTTTTTTTTCATCTAAAATAAGCTTGAATTTTTTAACGTTGAGCGTTTTTCTTCTATTTTAGAATTTTTAATGGGGTACATATGCTCAAAGGGGAAAAAAGTAAAACCCAATCCACCCTAATAATTGATTGAATAATTTCTCAGGTTTTCCAACTACTGCTTTTTATATTCGGAATGCCAAATGGAAGATAGACTGTGCGAAGGTTGCATTTCGGGTAAACTCCTAATTCATTATGCTTGTTAAATAAAAAGCAATGTTTTTGTTTACTTTTAAGGACCTCGAAGCTGTTGGGAAAGAGCTGAAGAATGGAGGAAAGACATTACAACAACAACAACAAAAACAACAGAAGCATCAACAACATGTTCCAGTACCCAGTTCACAAAGCCATCCATGTTTGTGGAATCAACATTATTAAGTGCATCTGTTTCAAGTACAACTTTTCCGTCAATTCTTGTAGATATAATCATGCATAAACCGGAATCAAATACCATAAGTTCAACAGCTTCATCCATATTAGAATCTCCAGATAAATCATCCACATCTTTACCAATATTAGAATCTCCAACTTTTACTAATCCTTCATCATCTTCATCAATATCTCAATCTCCAGATAATTTTTCAGCATCTTCATCAATATCAGAATCTCCAGATAATCCTGTAATATCTTCCTCAATAACAGAATCTTCAGTTCCTTCGGATCCTTGGTCATCTTCATCAATGTCAGAACCTGGAGTTGTAAACACTCCATCAATATCGTCCACTGTTGCTGGATCTGTAACTCCTTCAAGTTCTTTACTCACGTCTGATTCTGTAGCTACAACTAAACCATCTATTTCAACAATAACATTATCTTCAACATCTCCATCTTCCATGGGATTTGATACTACTGTCAAACCATCCAGTTCAATAACTTCAGGATCTTTAAATACTCCTTCTAGTTCATTAATATCATTAGATACAGGAACTATTTCTAATACTCCCAGTACATCAATATCATCAGCTACTGAAACTAATCTCAACCCCTCTAGTTCTTCAGTATTATCAGGATCTGGAACTACTTCGAACCCTACTAGTTCATCAATATCATCAGGATCTGAAACTACTTCCAACCCTTCTAGTTCATCAATATCATCAGGGTCTGAAACTACTTCCAACCCTTCTAGTTCATCAATATCATCAGGATCTGGAACTACTTCCAACCCTACTAGTTCATCAGTATCATCAGGATCTGATACTACTTCCAACCCTTCAAGTTCATCAATATCATCAGGATCTGGAACTACTTCCAACCCTACTAGTTCATCAGTATTATCAGGATCTGGAACTACTTCCAACCCTTCTAGTTCATCAATATCATCAGGATCTGGAACTACTTCCAACCCTTCTAGTTCATCATTATCATCGGGATCTGGAACTACTTCAAACCATTCTAGTTCATCAATGTCATCAGGATCTGGAACTACTTCCAACCCTACTAGTTCATCAATATCATCAGGATCTGGAACTACTTCCAACCCTTCTGGTTCATCAATATCATCAGGATCTGGAACTACTTCCAACCCTTCAAGTTCATCATTATCATCGGGATCTGGAACTACTTCAAGCCCTTCTAGTTCATCAATGTCATCAGGATCTAATACTACTTCCAACTTATCTAGTTCATCAATATCATCAGGATCTGGAACTACTTCCAACCCTTCTAGTTCTTCAATTTCATCAGGATCTGGAACTACTTCCAACCTATCTAGTTCATCAATATCATCAGGATCTGGAACTACTTCCAACCCTTCTAGTTCTTCTGTATCATCAGGATCTGGAACTACTTCCAACCCTTCTAGTTCATCAATAACATCAGGATCTGGAACTACTTCCAACCCTTCTAGTTCATCAATATCATCAGGATCTGGAACTACTTCCAACCCTTCTAGTTCTTCTGTATCATCAGGATCTACCCTTACGCCTGTTTCTTCCAGTTCATCATCATTTTTAAGACCTGACACTACGTTAATTACAGACACCTCAAATCCTTCAAGCTCCTCACTGGTAACCACTCCTTCAAGCATTTTCTCAACACTAGGTCCTGGTACTGCTAAGCCTTCAAGTTTCTCATCTACCTTAGAATTTATCACTTCTACAAATCCTTCAATAAGTTCAGCAGTATCTGAATCTCTGAATAACATTCTTCCAATAACTTCTGAATCTGCATTCGTAACTGATCATTCATCAACAGGTCTGCCAACTGGAATAATTCCTACTGGCTTTTTGCCAGCATCAGAATCTTCAGAAGTTAGTAATCCATCAAGTTCTTTAGAAAAACCAACACCTACAGAAGCTAGTGATCTATCAAGTTCTTCTGTAAAACCAACACCTTCAGAAACTAGTGATCTATCAAGTTCTACAGTAATATCAAGGCCTCCAGAAAATAGTGATCCATTAAATCCTTCTGTAATATCAAGGCCTCCAGTGACTAGTGATTTATCAAGTTCTTCTGTAATACAAAGGCCTTCAGAGACTAGTGATCCATCAAATTTTTCACCTACACTAGGTTTTGCAGAAACTAGCAATCTGCCAAGTTCTTCAGGAATATTATGGCCTGTCATTATCGGTGATCCCTCTGTTTCTTCTGTATCTTCAGAATTTGTAACTAGCACTGGTGCTTCATCATTCATAATGTCAGAATCTCTCATTTCTCAATTTACACCTGGACCTGTCCCATCATCATCACCGTCATCATCATCATCCATATCTTCAATAGGACCATCCTCTACTTTAGGTTCAATACTATCAAATGGCCCCATAGCTGCTATATTAGGCATTGCATCATCTACAGTATCCATTCCATCCACAACTACAGCTCAAGGTGCACCAAAACCATTGCAAGTTACAAGTAAACCGTCACAGACTACTTCATCAAAGCCTTTACAAGTGACAAGTAAACCTGCTTTACAAGGACTTATACCAGTAGGAGCTTTGATTCCTGGAAACTGGAATCCAATTGTAACAACTGCAAAGCCAGCAGAATCCAGTACAAAGCCTGCAGGATCAAGTACACAGCCTGCAGGATCAAGTACACAGCCTGCAGGATCCAGTACACAGCCTGCAGGATCAAGTACACAGCCAGCAGGATCCAGTACACAGCCTGCAGGATCCAGTACACAGCCCACAGGATCCAGTACAAAGCCTGCAGGATCAAGTACACAGCCTGCAGGATCCAGTACACAGCCCACAGGATCCAGTATACAGCCCACAGGATCCAATACACAGCCTGCAGGATCTAATACACAGCCCATAGGATCCAGTACACAGCCCACAGGATCCAGTACACAGCCCGCAGGATCCAGTACACTTCCTGAAGTATCCAATACACTACCTGGGGGATCCAGTACACTTCCTGGAGGATCCAGTACACAACCTGGAGGATCCAGTACACTACCTGGGGGATCCAGTACACTACCTGGGGGATCCAGTACACTTCCTGGAGGATCCAGTACACAACCTGGAGGATCCAGTACACTACCTGGGGGATCCAGTACACTACCTGGGGGATCCAGTACACTACCTGGGGGATCCAGTACACTGCCTGGGGGAACCAGTACACTGTCTGGAGGAACCAGTACACAACCTGGAGGATCCAGTACACTTCCTGTAGGATCCAGTACACTAACTGGAGGATCAAGTACACAATTTGAAGGATCCAGTACACTACCTGGAGGATCCAGTGCACTTCCTGGAGGAACAAGTACACAACCTGTAGGATCCAGTACACTTCCTGGAGTATCCAGCACACTTCCTGGAGGATCCAGTGCACTTCCTGGAGGATCCAGTTCACAGTCTGGAGGATCAAATACATTTTCTGGAGGATCCAGTACACTACCTGGAGGATCAAGTACACTACCTGAAGTATCAAGTACAAAGCCTGGAGAATTGAGTACACAGCCTGGAGGAGCCAGCACACTGCCTGTAGGATCCAGTACACAACCTGGAGGATCCAGTGCACAATCTGGAGGATCCAGTACACTACCTGAAGGATCTAGTGCACAATCTGGAGGAAGCAGTACACAGCCTGGAGAATCCAGTACAGTATCCGGAGGAACCAGTACACTACCTGGAGTATCCAGTACACTGCCTGAAGGATCCAGTACACTACCTGGAGAATCCAGTACACAACCTGAAGGATCCAGTACACTACCTGGAGGATCAAGTACACAGCCTGGAGACCTGAGTACACTTTCAGATGGATCAAATACAATCTTTATAGAAAGCTCCAATTCTAACTCTGTTTCTCCCAGTGATATATCTAATCCTTGTTCAAAACCATTTTGTAATTCTCCTGACCTAACCCCATCTAGTGGTCAGATAATCAACCTTGACCTATGGGAAGATGCTCTGATTTTACCGGACCAAAATGGAGTTCTAACCAAACCAATCCCGGGAACAGAAGATGCACAAGGTCGGTGCATTAAGCTATTAAAAGTTTAAGACTTGAACCACAGAAATTAGAGCATATTCGTTTATACCCATCTTTTTTTCAGAGGGTTTGCAGAATACTCAAGGGGGAAATACAGAACAGGTATATATATATTTATGTGTATATATATATATTTATGTGTATATATATATATATATATTTATGTATATATATAAATATTTATGTGTATATATATAAAGTAGTAATCTCTGTTTGGCTGTCTGTTTTGTCTATTAGTTTGCTGCTGTGTCCGATCATAAATTATAATCTGTGACCGATGTGCCTCTAACAAATAGGTTTGTTGATTTTAAATGGGAAATTATGGATTTTCAGGCAAAGTAGGTTTCCAATCAAGATAATATAGAATCTTTTAATTTTGATTTGATTAATTATACTGCTAAAACTCTCTGAATGAATCTTATTTATCGGTTGGTTCCGAATTAAAATTAGCCTACAGTTTTCTGGTTCTTACTGTACATCAGACCTTACACTCAAAAAAGATAAACTTGCAAAACTGATTTTGAGAAAGCGTTTAAACCTTTATTCTGTTTAGGCCTCTGCAGTTTCAGTTGTTGCTGTGGAAACTTCCGCAATTGTTCTTCCTGCTCAGTTGATCATTCCAGCTTCAATCCCAAACTCAGGATCATCCTCTTCATCTTCACCATCATCAATATCATCCACGTTGGTGTCATCCTCCTCGTCCTCCCCCTCCTCCTCTGCCCTGGTCTCCTTGTTTACCGTGGTTCCTGAATACTCCTCCTACCTGGGGTTCAGACCTTGTATAGTTCTCAGGTAATATCAGAGCTTCAATCACATTTTTTAGAATTAAATCGAAGAAAAACACCCGCCAAAAAATCATATTCTTTTATTCCTATATTAATCTTTTGCAACCTGATGTCGTAGACCTTTGATAATTCAAATTATTTATTTAGCTACAGGGTGTCCCACGAAACATGACAGTTGGGAGACGACTTGAAGGGCGTCTTTGATCATTAAAATAATTTTCTATATTTATTCATAAATCAATTTTAGAAATATATTCTTAAACAAATTATCACAAAATTGCCCTGGACTCTGCAATTTTATTGCTTTTAAGAATAAAGAAGTTTTTTTGATCAAAGACGTAAAGTCAAGTCGTCCACCATGTAGCTCAGTTAGTGAACGTCTGAAATCAGTGATAACTCCAGTTAAACTTATAATAAGACCGTACAGTATACCTTGCAGACTTTAAGACAGCGAAACGGGACATTATGCAAAATGAATCATCCCCTTCTTTCAAGATATATTAAACGTTAACACCATCAGGTTGAAAAGATGTCGGGATAAGAGAAGTCTTGATGGGCCACTTAATAAATTTATAAATCTTTTCAAAATGTAACTTTTAAAAAGCAGACCTATGAACCTATTTATAAAACTAATTAGATTATAAATTTCAGAGTACCTAGACCAATATTTTTTCTGCTGAGAAGTTTTAGTCTAGGGTATACATCCTTAACCCTCTGTTTCAAGCTGCCTCCATTCTTTTAGAGGGTTCAAGCTGCTTCCAATCTTCCAGAAGTTTCAAGTTTCCTCCATTCTTCTAGAAGTTTTAAGTTTTTTCCATTCTCCTAGAGGTTTCAAGTTTCTTCAATTCTTCTAGAAGTTTCTAGCATCCTCCATTCTTCTTGAAGTTTCTAGTATCCTCCATTCTTATAAAAGTTTCAAGCATCCTCCAATCTTCTAGACGTTTCTAGTCTATTCAATTCTTTTAGAAGTTTCAAGCTATCATCATATTTATAAAAGTTTCCAGTGTCCATATTATCTAGAAGTTTCAAGCGGCTTCCATTATTCTAGAAGTTTTAAACTGTCTACATTTTTCTAGAAGTTTCAAGCGGCCTCCATTATTCTAGAAGTTTCAAACCGTTTCATTTTTGTAGAAGTTTCAAGCTGTCTCCATTCTTAGAAAAGTTTCCATTTCCCATTTATATCTAAAAATTTAAAGCATCCTCCATTATTTTAAAAGTTTAAAGCTTTCTCAATTCATCTAGAGGTTTCAAGCATCCTCCATTCTTCTATTAGTTTCCAGTTTCCTCCATTCTTCTAGATGTTTCCAGCTTCTTCCATGCTTGTAGAAGTTTCAAACATCATCTTTCTTCTAGAAGTTCCTTCTACAACTTTCCAGTACTCATTTTATCTAGAAGTCAAGCTGTCTCAATAAATAAAAAGATGCCCTGGACCTAGAAAAACTATAAAAAGTAGAAATAGTAAAAAGTGAACCATATCACTAAAAAAAATTGAAACCCATGTGTGAACAAAAAAAGAGCTTTGAATTTGCCATTGATAATTTTATCTGGTGTCAAAATATCTTAATTTATATTTTTTATCTTTCTTTATATTTATTTAATACATTTCTCTAAGTATGCTGCAGCTATATTCAGTTAGAATGTTGCAAATTGAATTGCAACATTTCTTTTATATAACTAAACATAATTGTTAATTATTCTAAATCATTCAAATAAATTTGTTAAAAAAAAAATATGTTAGAATTTGTAAAAAAAGCAATATTGTGTTTTAGATTTAGTAAAAAAGCAATAATATGTATTAGAATTTGTAAAAAAGATATATTTTATATTTTATTTTAGATTTAGTACAAAAAATATATTATATTTTAGATTTAGTAAAAAAGCAATAATATGTATTAGAATTTGTAAAAAAGATATATTTTATATTTTATTTTAGATTTAGTACAAAAAATATATTATATTTTAGATTTAGTAAAAAAGGAATATTATATTTAATATAAAACGTAATTTTCATTGCTTTTTCTAATTTTTAGATTGCTTTATAAAAGGGATAATTGTTAAAAGGGTTGAATTTTGTTGAAAATACACAAAATATACAATTTTTGAAAAATAGGAAATCTTACTAAACTAAGCTACAGAATGGTCCTATGTATTTGTTATTTTACCAGAAACCCTGGTTTTTCTTTTAAGATTTTAAGAGAAAGCATAGTTTATTTCTAATCTCAAAACTAGATGTTTTTGTGCATTTTCAACTCTAAGAGAAAGTTACAGACCAGGTCCAGATGTCCAGTCGAATTTTTGCTGGAACATAAGCAGTAGACGTGTAGTAGTTTACAATTTCGTTGATGTTGTTGTTTTTGTTGAGGTAAGGAGGGCAAGGCCCCCCCTTTATCCTGATGAAGGAGGGGGCATGCCCTCCCTTAAGAAGGCTTGCCCCCCCCTGTAAGGGGGGGCAAGAAGTCCACCCTGTTTTGCAATTTAGCGATTTATGAATCCTGACCCTGACCAAATTTAAGAGCTCTGATCGTAAAATAAAAAAAATGATAATTGAACGTTAGTTTATTGAGCTTATAGTTCTTCAATCAGAGGAATGCTTCAAAAAAAAGCTGAAAAGAATGGATCAATAACAATGGTCTCCTGGAAAATTCAGAATAGCTTGATCAAAATTATAGGAATAGAAATATAACAAATTAAAGTTTAAGCTTATTTTTTCTTTGTTTGGGGGAGGGGAGGTGGCTGAAAACATGAACATGAATGATAAAGTAAATTATTGCTTGAATAAAGGTGAAGACTTTGTCCTAAAATCTATTCTGAATGAGGTTAAATCTATTCTAAATGAGGTTAAATCTATTCTGAATGAGGTTAAATCTATTCTGAATGAGGTTAAATTTATTCTAAATGAGGTTAAATCTATTCTGAATGAGGTTAAATCTATTCTGAATGAGGTTAAATCTATTCTGAATGAGGTTAAATCTGCAAAATTCTACTCCTTCATAGCAGATGAAGCAACAGCATACACAACCAATATCTTGTAAACGTAAATGTAGGTTATGTAAATTATGAGGCATTTATATATGGGACAGCATAGAATACATCCTCGCCCCCCGCCACCCCTTCTTTTTGAAGCATTTCCTGTAACTAAAAAAAATGTTTGATAGATTTCTTTTTTATTTCATATCAGATGGGGTCATACAAATATTCGGTTGGTAAGGTTAGTTTTTTATTGTTTGAGTATAATACACATTTTTCCTGCAAATTTTTATTTTTATTTTTATAATGACACGTGTATTCTAATGACACACGTGAATTATCCCATAATGAAAGAGATGACCTTCTGATACGGTTTATCCATTTATTCATAGTTTACAATTTCGTCATGGAATTTCAACCCCATAAAGTTTTGTTTTATCTACAGAGTGTCCCACGGCCACATCATGTCAGATCGTTCTTAGCTCTAATTGGCGATTTTTGGTACTAATCAGAAAATTTAAAAAGAATGAATAATTTTTGAAAAATCTATATGTCTAATATCAAAATTTGTATGCAGAAAATTCTATGTTTTACGAGTATTATGTGCGTATTTTGGTGTTAAAGCTTGGAGACAATTCAATATGATGTATATATTATATTTTTATATATTAGTATACTAGTTTACTAAATATGTTCTAGTTTACTAAATTAGTACTAGATCAATGACAGTCTGATAGTTTATTAGTTATATAGTTTCCTAAAATTTACTAAATCAAAAATAGTTTACAGTGAAACCAGAAAACTCTGGAATAGTAAGACGACTGTTAGAATCAAGATTTAACTTTAAAAAGTTCAATGACGACAAAGCACAGTGTAAAAATACCCATTTCACAAAATAAGTTATTTTATAATTGTCTGGTAAAATCATTTGCTTTGTAACACCATCAAATACACTCAAGTATTGCTATAATGTCGTCTTTCTATTCCATTGTTATCTGGTTATCACTGTAGAAAAAAAGCTGGAAATGCTAGTACACATCTACAACTGTTTTAATATATAATTTGTCAGTTTATTTACAGTTCAATGATCGGGTAAAAGTACGAAAAGTAACCAAATATGTTTACTGTACACATTACGCATAATATGTCAGATGCGTAAACGCTGGAAACGTAGTAGCAATCCTGCAGGGTTTTAGTTAATTCAGTGAAAGGAAAAAGATTTTTTTTGTTATTTTTTTTCTTAACATCTGCAATAATTTTATTAAACAAGTATTAAAACGTTATATTGCTTACATTTTACTCATGCAAAAATGTACTTTGAAAAGTACAAAACCCTTCCAAATTCCATAGTAATTACATTTATTCTATATTTTTATGTATCAGCTTTGATCTGTGCCTATCCCATCTAAACGGTTGTATCTGTCTATCTTCATATCAAACTATTCATCTATCTATCTAAATCTGTATCTACCTATTTATCTATCTATTCTCTTCCATTGCTGTATATGTATGGAATATTGTTATTTTGCGAGAATAATTCAATTCTTGTCAGTTCTTCACCAAAGTCACAAGGTTCGTGTCATCATTAGTGATTATTATTATCATCATTAATAAATTTCATATCATTGTTATCAATATGGAATAAATCTTTATAATATAATAATATCAATATTATTATTCTATTATTATAATTATTTCTATTATTAGTATTAGTATTATTAAGTGCTGCTGTGAGATGTGTCTACCATTTGTCCTAATTTTCTCTTTCCATTTCGCTCAAAGGTGAAATATATGTAAAGGGTAGGCGATTATATCAATATATTAAAGACGACTTTTAGTTTTCATTTTGATTGATATCAAGCATTGATAGACATAAATTAAAAAACTCAAGAGAAGCTGTCAATTAAAAAAAAAGCTTCTCTTGGATGAATTATAAACTTGTAAATCCAAAAAAACCATGTTAACAATCAAAATTAAATTAAAAAATCGTCTTCATTGTAGTGATATAATCGCTTACCACTGTAGATCAGTTGCTGAAAAAATAATAATCGACGATTACGAAATTGATCCAAAAATGTGAACTTTTCAAATTTGTTTGTTTTCTAATTAAGATTTGTTTGTTTGTATCTTTTGGCAACAATTTTTCTCGTAATTTTTAAAATGACGGTACAAAGATTAAAAAAAAACTGTTAATTCTTCCCTTCCTAATTGGCAAATTAATTTCTTTACATATATTGTTCATAATAAATAATAATATGATAATTAAAAGAGAAATTAAAAGGTATTAAAGCGTCTTCATGCATTTGCAAATGTGGTCTACCCTTTGTTTTGAATCCTAAATAAATCGGTATTGGATGTTGTTGACAATTTTTGGTTTTATACAGTTTAAAGTCTTAAGTCTCGAAATTTGTATTATCCACATTTTGACATAGTATTCTTATTTCCTAACTTTTGTTAAATCAGATTAGGTTTACAAACACTACACATTTTTTTAAAGATAACATAGAATGAAGCATATTGCATGTTTATTAATTAGTGAAACGAAACGAACCAAATGAATAAAGTCTTAAAACTGAGATTTGAACGAATTTGTTTTGTTCACTAACTTTATATAAATGTCAAGCTCTGAAGTCCTAAACCTGGCATGGCCTGAACCTTGTGGTACTGGTCTGCAGAGGTCGAGGGGAATGCGAGTAGTTGGGGGTAAACCTGCAGTTCAAGGTATAGTTGGGGGGTAAACCTGCAGTTCAAGGTATAGATGGGGGGTAAACCTAAAATCTTTAATTTGAGGTTTAGTCGGGGGTAACCTATGTATAGTTTCTTGAAAACAAAGCCGACATTATCGCTAAGCTTATCCAGGACAGTTTCCATGGGTTGTTAGCCTAAGAAGAAGAAAGAACGTAAAATCTAGCGATTACTCGCATATATGTGCTGGAACTCTTATAACAAATAGGTAAGGTTTCACATTTTTAATAGTGTGTTTAATTTTTAACGTAGAATATAAAAATATTTTCTTTTTCTGCTAAACGGTGTTCAAAACACTGGTTTTAACTCTCTACGATTACTATTGGATAATGTTAAAATACCGTACAAAAACCAGGAAACTGAATTAAGTCGGAAAGGACACTGTAAAAACACGCAGCAAAACTAATGAGTTTAGTTGTCTTATTCTCCTATTGTAACCTTTTTTATCGAACTTTGACGTCTCTTTTTATAAAAACAAATTTAATTATTTATTTCTTTATCCCAGAGATCTTGAGTCATCGAAAGAATTTATGAAATGACGTCTGGATAATTTTCAATGGGTTTTAAACTGTTACACGTAAATCTCAGTAATTGCAAAAAATAAATAAATAGCCATGAATATGCGGGTACATAGCTCAATATAATCATTTAATTCAAAAACAAAATATCTGTAGCATTTGATTATCAGCAAGTTAAGAATACAACATTTTATAAATTCTTCCGATGTCTCTTTATATTTGAACTTAACTGTATAATTTTAGAATTAGCGCAATTATGCCATTCTTTTAAATTTCTTTGTTATCTGTGTTAAAATTTAGAAAAATTAAAAAAGAACATTCTTATATTTTTTTTTCTAGACATGTAGTCACAGCAGCTCATTGTGTACATGACACATCAGTACATATCTGGCAGGTACAGTACAGTTTATTGTGTACATGACACATCAGTACATATCTGACAGGTACAGTACAGTTCATTGTGTACATGACACATCAGTACATATTTGGCAGGTACAGTACAGTTCATTGTGTACATGACACATCAGTACATATTTAGCAGGTACAGTACAGTTCATTGTGTACATGACACATCAGCACATATCTGGCAGGTACAGGACAGTTCATTGTGTACATGACACATAAGCACATATCTGGCAGGTACAGTACAGTTCATTGTGTACATGATACATCAGTACATATCTGGCAGGTACAGTACAGTTCATTGTGTACATGACACATCAGTACATATCTGGCAGGTACAGTACTGTTTATTGTGTACATGACACATCAGCACATATCTGGCAGGTACAGTACAGTTAATTGTGTACATGAAACATCAGCACATATCTGGCAGGTACAGTACAGTTCATTGTGTACATGACACATCAGTACATATCTGGAAGGTACAGTAAAATTCATTGTGTACATGACACATCAGCACATATCTGGCATGTACAGTAAAGTTCATTGTGTACATGACACATCAGTGCATATCTGGCAGGTAAAGTACAGTTCATTGTGTACATGACACATCATCACATATCTGGCAGGTACAGTAAAGTTCATTGTGTAAATGACACATCAGCACATATCTGGCAGGTACAGTACTGTTTATTGTGTACATGACACATCAGTACATATCTGGCAGGTACAGTACAGTTTAATGTGTACATGACACATCAGCACAAATCTGGCAGGTACAGTACAGTTTATTATGTACATGATACGTCAGCAAAAATCTGGCAGGTACAGTACAGTTCATTGTGTACATGACACATCAGCACATATCTGGCAGGTACAGTACAGTTTATTATCTATATGACACATCAGCACAAATCTGGAAGGTACAGTACAGTTTATTATGTACATGATACGTCAGCACAAATATGGCAGGTACAGTACAGTTTATTGTGTACATGATAAATCAGCACATATCTGGCTGGTACAGTACAGTTTATTGTGTACATCACACATCAGCACATATCTGGAAGGTACAGTAAAGTTTATTGTGTACCTGACACATCAGCATATCTGGCAGGTACAGTGCAGTTTATTGTGTACATGACACATCAGTACATATCTGGCAGGTACAGTACAGTTCATTGTTTACATGACATATCAGACCAAATCTGGCAGGTATAGTAAAGTTTATTGTGTACATGACACATCAGCTCATATCTGGCAGGTACAGTAAAGTTTATTCTGTACATGACACATCAGCATATATCTGGCAGGTAGAGTAAAGTTTATTGTGTACATGACACATCAGCACATATCTGGCATGTACAGTAAAGTTTATTGTGTACATGACACATCAGCACATATCTGGCAGGTACAGTACAATTCATTGTGTACATGACACATCAGCACATATCTGGCAAGTGCAGTACAGTTCATTGTGTACATGACACATCAGCAAATATCTGGTAGGTACAGTACAGTTCATTGTGTACATGACACATCAGCACATATCTGGCAGTTACAGTTAGGGTTGTTAATCGTTTTTGAAAACTTTTGTTTCGTTTTTCAATCGTTTTCAAAAACGATCGTTTCGTTTTCGGAAAAAACGACCCACTCGTTTCAAACTTTTAGAAAACAAATAGCGATTGTTTTTGAAAACGATCGTTTTTATAAAAACGATTTGCGACCGTTCTTTTATACGATTGTTTTAAAAAAACAATCATTTTAAAAAAATGATCGTTTTTTTAAAACAATTGTGTTCACAAATACGTTAACGATTGTTAACGAACGCTCGTCGTTAACGATCGTTAAGAAAGGGTCGTCGTTAACGATCGTTAACGAAGGGTTGTCGTTAATGATCGTTTACGAAACGACGAACTTTATAAAAAAGGTCGTTTTTGGAAAAAACTACCGATTTTGAAAAAAATACATGCAACCGCAGGAACTAGGAAATAATACACAAGTAGACAAATACAGGAACTAGGAAATAATAAACAAGTAGACAACTGCAGGAACTAGGAAATAATAAACAAGTAGACAAATACAGGAACTAGGAAATAATAAACAAGTAGACAACTGCAGGAACTAGGAAATAATAAAGATGTAAACAACTGCAGGAACTAGGAAATAATAAACAAGTAGACAAATACAGGAACTAGAAAATAATAAACAAGTAAACAAATATGCAGGAACTAGGAAATAATAAAGAAGTAAACAACTACAGGAACTAGGAAATAATAAACAAGTAAACAAATACAGGAACTAGGAAACAATACACGAGTAAACAACTGCTGGGACTAGGAAATAATAAACAACTAGACAAATACAGGAACTAGGAAATAATAAACAAGTAGACAACTGCAGGAACTAGGAAATAATAAACCATTGTGACAACTACTGGAACTAGGAAATAATAAACAAGTAGACAACTACAGGAACTAGGAAATAATAAACAATTAAACAAATACAGGAACTAGGAAATAATAAACAAGTAAACAAATACAGGAACTAGGAAACAATAAACAAGTAAACAACTGCAGGAACTAGGAAATAATAAACAAGTAGACAAATACAGAAACTAGGAAATAATAAACAAGTAAACAACTGCAGGAACTAGGAAATAATCAACAAGTAGACAAATACAGGAACTAGGAAATAATAAACAAGTAGACAACTGTAGAAACAAGGAAATAATAAACCATTGTGACAACTGCAGGAACTAGAAAATAATAAACAAGTAGACAACTACAGGAACTAGGAAATAATAAACAAGTAAACAAATATGCAGGAACTAGGAACTAATAAACAAGTAAACAACTGCAGGAACTAGGAAATGATAAACCATTGTGACAACTACAGGAACTAGGAAATGATAAACAAGTAGACAACTACAGGAACTAGGAAATAATAAACAATTAAACAAATACAGGAACTAGGAAATAATACACAAGTAAACAACTGCAGGAACTAGGAAATAATAAACAAGTAGACAAATACAGGAACTAGGAAATAATAAACAAGTAAACAACTGCAGGAACTAGGAAATAATAAACAAGTAGACAAATACAGGAACTAGAAAATAATAAACAAGTAGACAACTGTAGGAACTAGGAAATAATAAACCATTGTGACAACTACAGGAACTAGAAAATAATAAACAAGTAAACAAATACAGGAACTAGGAAATAATACACATGTAAACATTTGCAGGAACTAGGAAATAATAAACAAGTAGACAAATACAGGAACTAGGAAATAATAAACAAGTATACAACTGCAGGAACTAGGAAATAATAAACAAAAAGACAAATACAGGAACTAGGAAATAATAAACAAGTAGACAACTGTAGGAACTAGGAAATAATAAACAAGTAGACAACTGCAGGTACTAGGAAATAATAAACCATTGTGACAACTGCAGGAACTAGAAAATAATAAACAAGTAGACAAATACAGGAACTACAGTGAAACCCTTAATAAAGCATACATAGAAAGAATTTATCAAATGTCGTATTCTTCGTTTTCTGATAATAAAATGTTGCAGATATTTAGTTTTTTAATTAAATGATTATATGGAACTCTTTAAAACTGTTCCTGCATATTCATGGATATTTATTCATTTTCGCAAATACTTAAATTTACTTAATATAGTATAAAACTCATTGAAAAATTGTCAAGGCGACATTTGATAAGTTCTTCCGATGTATCCATTATCAAGGGTTTCACTGTAGGAAATAATAAACAAGTAAACAACTGCAGGAACTAGGAAATAATAAACAAGTAGACAAATACAGGAACTAAAACAAGTAGACAACTGTAGGTACTAGGAAATAATAAACCATTGTGACAACTGCAGGAACTAGAAAAAAAGCTCATTGAAACAAAATTTTTTATTTTTTGGTTTGTATAGTATATTTTGACAAAAATGACAAGAAAAAGTTTTTTTAAATGTTAAAAATATATTTGTTTTGTTCAAAACAAATATCAAAGTGTGACACATGTTTCTACATTCATTTTTCACGGGCTTTTCAAAAATATACTTTTTATATCTTTAGCTTTATTAATAAAAAAGTTAGGGGCGACCGGAATTTTCATCGTCCTGTACCCTACCCTATGCATAAAAAAAACTTTTACAAAAAATCCTTTAGATTTCTTTTTATTAAAGGTCAAAAAAAATTCATGGTGATAGTGTCAAAAATTAGAGTGCTAGGGCAAACAAACTAGATGGGGGGGGGAGGCGCCAAACGCCCCTTCCCCCCAGCCTGTTTATGGTTAAAGTAAAAGAATTTCACAGTGATAGTGTCAAAAATAATAGTGCTAGGATTAAAAAAACTAGAGGGGGGCGTCAAACGCCCCTCCCCAGCCTATTTAGGGTTAAAAGGTAACATCGGAGATTTCATTCTTTAAATGAGCTGCAGTCTCTTGAAGTGCATAAACAGATATAAAATATATATCCATAGATAGATAGATAGGTAGATATACGTGACGTGGCATCAGGTTTATTTATAACGGTGCACATTGACATTGTCCCATAGATCAACTAGTATTTAGGGGATTCCATGTATCTATCTATCTATCGATAATAACGGGTCTGAGACAAATGATATGAATGGGGGGGGGGGGGTAGCAGGAAAATAAGACACAAATGTTCAACAGGTATAAAGAACTAGAAGGCATAGAAAGAGAAAGGAAGAAAGAGAAAAGAGAAAGAAGGATGAAAAAGGAGAAGAAAGAATACGAAATTATGAGACAGGATGAGGGAGAAGAAGGGACTAGAAAAGAAAGGAAGAATAAGAAAGAAGAAAGGACTAGAAAAGAAATTAAGAATAAGAAAGAAGGATGAGAAAGAAGCAGGAAGGATAAGAGTGAATGAGGAAGAGGAAGAAAGGACTAGAAAAGTAAGGAAGAATGAGAAGGAAGGATGAGGAAGAAGCAGAAAGGATAAGAGTGGATGAGAAAGAAGAAGAAGAAAGGACTAGAAAAGTAAGGAAGAATGAGAAAGATTGATGAGGAAGAAGCAGGAAGGATAAGAGTGGATAAGGAAGAAGAAGAAAGGACTAGAAAGAAAGGAAGAATGAGAGGGAAGAATGAGAAAGAATGATGAGGAAGAAGCAGGAAGGATAAGAGTGGATGAGAAAGAAGAAGAAGAAAGGACTATAGAAAAGTATGGAAGAATGAGAAGGAAGGATGAGGAAGAAGCAGAAAGGATAAGAGTGAATGAGAAAGAAGAAGGGAGGACGAGAAAGTAAGGAAGAATGAAATGGAAGGATGAAGAAGAAGCAGGAAGGATAAGGTTGGATGAGGAAGAAGAAGAAAGGAGAAAGATATATAGGGAAAGAAAATTTAAGGAAGAACGAGAAAGGATAAGAGAGCAGAAAAAATGATTGACGAGGAAAGATAAGTCAAGAAGAACGAAAAGATGAGGATTGATAAGGAAAGATAAGCTAAGGAAGAACGAGAAAGGATGAGAAAGCAGAAGAAAGGAGAAGGATAAATGAGAAAAGATAGTAAGGATGAGAAATGATAATTAAGAATGTATAAGGATAAGTAAGGATGAGAAATGATAATTAAGAATGTATAAGGATAAGTAAGGATAAGAAATGATAATTAAGAATGTATAAGGATAAGTAAGAATGAGAAATGATATAAGGATAAGTAAGGATGAGAAATGATAATTAAGAATGTATAAGGATAAGTAAGGATAAGAAATGATAATTAAGAATGTATAAGGATAAGTAAGAATGAGAAATGATAATTAAGAATGTATAAGGATAAGTAAGAATGAGAAATGATAATTCAGAATGTATAAGGATAAGAAAGGATGAGAAATAATAATTAAGAATGTATAAGGATAAGTAAGGATGAAAAATGATAATTAAGAATGTATAAGGATAAGTAAGAGAATAATAAATGATAATTAAAAAGGTGGGGGTAGTTCGGAGCGAGTAAACCATTATTAAAAAAGATATAAGGATTAATTTGATATCAATTTATTAATTTGTCTTTACGTGTTATAATTGCTGCGAAAGACATTTTTCTACTTTACAAATTCGCAAAGTTGAGTCCGCCCAATAAAACATATAATGAAATTTTTTTAGCGATCCAAACGAAAATAATAGAATAAACTTCCTTTGAATTCAGTTTACGAACATATTTCCTTTAAAAAAATTATCAATGAAATCAATGGTATAATTGAATAGAGAATGGATTATTTCTTTATCAGCATTATCTTGAATACACTTATCTTCTATAAATGTATTTGCAGATTTTTTTTAAGTTCTTTAAACGTCGTCTTTGCAAGGAAATCAAAGGAAATCTAGACATTAGTTTACAGCCAAAATTAGGTTCGGCAATTTTTTCTCTCTTTTTTTCAACAGAAAGAAAGGCCATTAATATGTTGTTATAATGTATCAAATGTTAAACTCATTAACTGTTATTTTTCTTACTCTAATCAAACAATTTTAAATAAATCTTTTTTTATTAAAAAATAAAAAAATACTTTTTAAAATTAATAATAATTTCAGGTTGTGGCCGGTGAACTGAGACCGGATAAAAGAGATCTGGGAGAACAGATTAGAAAGGTTTTTATAATAAACAAATTTTAAAAAACATTAAAGCAGCTGTATCCTTCAACTATAAAACTGAAATAATATGCAAGATAACGTCTTATTTGAAGCATGCAAACTGTTTTATTTGCACTATTTGAATCAGTTGAAAACCATGAACATTCAATAATTACTTGATCAGACAAAGCTTTTAATGGTTCTGATGTGAATTGGCCATACTCAGTCAGTAAAGGATCAGGTGTATGTATGTTTAACAAGTTTTAAAAGCTGGCATTACTTTGAAATTAGAGCTTTAAGAATGTTTGTATAAATATTTTGATATCGCTTATATTATGTATTTAGATTATTCGAATTATTACTTATACACCATAATATGATGCATCTGGTTAGCGTGTGAAATATAATTATAGGCTTTAAAGGGACTGTAAAGGAAAAAGAAAGTAGTTATAGGCTAAAACATGAGAATCGTAGGAGCTGATTGAGACATAAAAGAGTTCTATCTGATATTCAAATCTCGAGAAATTGACACAAAACTGTGTTAAAATTATACGAAAATTCATTTTTATACAATTTTGTATAAAATTAGTAGGTTTAAATAGATCATTTTCAGCAAATACGCAACCAATCTAAAAACGATTATATCCCACAACTCTCCATAAATGTTCAATTGGGTAATGTGAGTTGTTACTAAAAACGTGGGTTTGTTCTGTTCAGACATATAGACAAGGAAAAATTATAAATATATTGAAGGGAAAAGGGCGGTGGCAAATCCTATTTTCGGCTTGTTATAAAAATCATCTTTTAAATCCCTACATCATACTTTTCTCGCGTTCCCTTTCTGGTATTTAGTACAACTACATTTCAGGATAAATATAGATATATTTCAGGCTAATAGTTAACAGAATACATTAGAACAGGGATACATGAATACTTGGTCGAAATCTTAAAACCTTTCTAAAGAGAAATTCTTGATTTAAAAATCAGTTCCTTCAAATATCCCTGCTCTATTGGGAAAAAACAAAACATTAAAAAACATGAATATTGAAGGTCATTAGAGACTCTGGACTAGAGGATAACAATATATGCATTTTAGTGCGTCGTGCATTTCTAAATTTTGAAAATGATCGTTTGCTGATCGTTTGCTGATCGTTTGCTGATCGTTGGTTAATATGTGATCCAAGTGCAGAGCATTTTCCCTTGTCTGCTTAAACAGTCGTGCTCAGGGCACTTACTGTTCACAATATTATTATGATTATCTAAATTACCTGCATGCTACACTCGGGCTTTTTCCAAATTTGTCAAGACAAGACCTGATTAAAAAAAAATAATTTAGACATTGGAATTTATTTTTTAAAGGCAACATTTTTCTATGAATTTCGTTTAATGAAAATGCAGGAGTCTATATTTTACTGAAAAACCTCCAGATGTTATGCGCGCAGGCTTATTTTTAGGTTTTAATAGCTGAATTAGGGAAGGATATTTGTTTTAAATAAATCTTTCGTAAAAAGAATCAAAAAGGATAAAAAAATTGCCTATAGTTAAATTTTCATTGTTTTCCCGAGAGAAGGGGCGTGTTTTTCTAAAAAAATATTTACCCCTTTGAAAAGCAAGAAAGTCACCTTGTAACTGTAAGTGGATCCATGTCCGCGGGTAGAGCTGACACTGCGGCTAGACAGGCCAGAACACAGACAAATATAGCCAGGAACATACGCATCTTCTAAACACCAAAGAATTTATATCTATTCACGAATTCAATGTTTTTAAAGATCTCGTTGAGGAAGATATCCTGGTTTTTAACCCTGAAAACTTTGTGTTGGTTCTACTAAAGCAGAAATGGGAAAATCATTTTAAAGAAAAACTACAAATGATAATTTTTTAAAGAAAATATTATAGATATCAAATTTATTCTTGAGCAGAAAAAAGCTTAAAAGTATGGTTGTGAATGGGATATGCCACCTTGTTAATGGACAAATGTTTAAATATGACAAAACACACAATATTTTTAATGTATATTGATGCAAACCTGTTTGGTTTGGTTTGGTTGTATTTCTACGATGGTTAATCTTATACTGAAGCAAAGTGTCGGCCTGTGCATCATTTTATACCCCCGGCTCCTCAGCAAAAACATATATAAGTGTGTGACAAGGAAAATTAATGGACAGAAAAAAATGGGAATCCTACAACGCTGGTTTTTCTTCTGGGGAGGGGGAGTATTGGTGGATAGGGGGTATAT